AGAAAAATATAAGCTTACAAAATTAAATTTTGATCAGGTTAAAAATTGGCATAAGAATTTATATTCTCAACAAAAAATGCAACGCAGAAATATTCTGCCACCTTTTCCTGTGTTGTCTTTTTTTTTTTAAATTAATTTTCAATGTTAATGTTTTAGCGGGGAGGGGATTGCGGGTGGTGGGGCACCCCCCCCCCAAGGGCAAAGGGGGGTGCGGGTGGTGGGGCACCCCCCCCTCAAGGGCAAAGGGGGGTGCGGGTGGTGGGGCACCCCCCCCAAGGGCAAAGGGGGGTGCGGGTGTTGGGGCACCCCCCCCAAGGGCAAAGGGGGGTGCGGGTGTTGGGGCACCCCCCCCCAAGGGCAAAGGGGGGTGCGGGTGTTGGGGCACCCCCCCCCCCAAGGGCAAAGGGGGGTGCGGGTGTTGGGGCACCCCCCCCCCCAAGGGCAAAGGGGGGTGCGGGTGTTGGGGCACCCCCCCCCCCCAAGGGCAAAGGGGGGTGCGGGTGTTGGGGCATCCCCCCCCCAAGGGCAAAGGGGGGTGCGGGTGGTGGGGCATCCCCCCCCCAAGGGCAAAGGGGGGTGCGGGTGGTGGGGCATCCCCCCCCCCAAGGGCAAAGGGGGGTGCGGGTGGTGGGACATCCCCCCCCCCAAGGGCAAAGGGGGGTGCGGGTGGTGGGGCATCCCCCCCCCAAGGGCAAAGGGGGGTGCGGGTGGTGGGGCATCCCCCCCCAAGGGCAAAGGGGGGTGCGGGTGGTGGGGCATCCCCCCCCCAAGGGCAAAGGGGGGTGCGGGTGGTGGGGCATCCCCCCCCAAGGGCAAAGGGGGGTGCGGGTGGTGGGGCATCCCCCCCCAAGGGCAAAGGGGGGTGCGGGTGGTGGGGTATCCCCCCCCAAGGGCAAAGGGGGGTGCGGGTGGTGGGGCATCCCCCCCCAAGGGCAAAGGGGGGTGCGGGTGGTGGGGCATCCCCCCCCAAGGGCAAAGGGGGGTGCGGGTGGTGGGGCATCCCCCCCCCAAGGGCAAAGGGGGGTGCGGGTGGTGGGGCATCCCCCCCCCCCAAGGGCAAAGGGGGGTGCGGGTGGTGGGGCATCCCCCCCCCCAAGGGCAAAGGGGGGTGCGGGTGGTGGGGCATCCCCCCCCCCAAGGGCAAAGGGGGGTGCGGGTGGTGGGGCATCCCCCCCCCAAGGGCAAAGGGGGGTGCGGGTGGTGGGGCATCCCCCCCCCCAAGGGCAAAGGGGGGTGCGGGTGGTGGGGCATCCCCCCCCCCAAGGGCAAAGGGGGGTGCGGGTGGTGGGGCATCCCCCCCCCCAAGGGCAAAGGGGGGTGCGGGTGGTGGGGCATCCCCCCCCCCAAGGGCAAAGGGGGGTGCGGGTGGTGGGGCATCCCCCCCCCAAGGGCAAAGGGGGGTGCGGGTGGTGGGGCATCCCCCCCCCAAGGGCAAAGGGGGGTGCGGGTGGTGGGGCATCCCCCCCCCCCAAGGGCAAAGGGGGGTGCGGGTGGTGGGGCATCCCCCCCCCCAAGGGCAAAGGGGGGTGCGGGTGGTGGGGCATCCCCCCCCCAAGGGCAAAGGGGGGTGCGGGTGGTGGGGCATCCCCCCCCCCAAGGGCAAAGGGGGGTGCGGGTGGTGGGGCATCCCCCCCCCCCAAGGGCAAAGGGGGGTGCGGGTGGTGGGGCATCCCCCCCCCCAAGGGCAAAGGGGGGTGCGGGTGGTGGGGCATCCCCCCCCCCCAAGGGCAAAGGGGGGTGCGGGTGGTGGGGCATCCCCCCCCCCAAGGGCAAAGGGGGGTGCGGGTGGTGGGGCATCCCCCCCCCCAAGGGCAAAGGGGGGTGCGGGTGGTGGGGCATCCCCCCCCCCAAGGGCAAAGGGGGGTGCGGGTGGTGGGGCATCCCCCCCCCCAAGGGCAAAGGGGGGTGCGGGTGGTGGGGCATCCCCCCCCCCAAGGGCAAAGGGGGGTGCGGGTGGTGGGGCATCCCCCCCCCAAGGGCAAAGGGGGGTGCGGGTGGTGGGGCATCCCCCCCCCAAGGGCAAAGGGGGGTGCGGGTGGTGGGGCATCCCCCCCCCAAGGGCAAAGGGGGGTGCGGGTGGTGGGGCATCCCCCCCCCAAGGGCAAAGGGGGGGTGCGGGTGGTGGGGCATCCCCCCCCCCAAGGGCAAAGGGGGGGTGCGGGTGGTGGGGCATCCCCCCCCCCAAGGGCAAAGGGGGGGTGCGGGTGGTGGGGCATCCCCCCCCCCAAGGGCAAAGGGGGGGTGCGGGTGGTGGGGCATCCCCCCCCCCAAGGGCAAAGGGGGGGTGCGGGTGGTGGGGCATCCCCCCCCCCAAGGGCAAAGGGGGGGTGCGGGTGGTGGGGCATCCCCCCCCCAAGGGCAAAGGGGGGGTGCGGGTGGTGGGGCATCCCCCCCCCAAGGGCAAAGGGGGGGTGCGGGTGGTGGGGCATCCCCCCCAAGGGCAAAGGGGGGGTGCGGGTGGTGGGGCATCCCCCCCCAAGGGCAAAGGGGGGGTGCGGGTGGTGGGGCATCCCCCCCCAAGGGCAAAGGGGGGGTGCGGGTGGTGGGGCGCCCCCCCCCAAGGGCAAAGGGGGGTGCGGGTGGTGGGGCGCCCCCCCCCCAAGGGCAAAGGGGGGTGCGGGTGGTGGGGCGCCCCCCCCCCCAAGGGCAAAGGGGGGTGCGGGTGGTGGGGCGCCCCCCCCCCCCAAGGGCAAAGGGGGGTGCGGGTGGTGGGGCGCCCCCCCCCCCCAAGGGCAAAGGGGGGTGCGGGTGGTGGGGCGCCCCCCCCCCCCCCCCAAGGGCAAAGGGGGGTGCGGGTGGTGGGGCGCCCCCCCCCCCCCCCAAGGGCAAAGGGGGGTGCGGGTGGTGGGGCGCCCCCCCCCCCCCCCCAAGGGCAAAGGGGGGTGCGGGTGGTGGGGCGCCCCCCCCCCCCCCCCCAAGGGCAAAGGGGGGTGCGGGTGGTGGGGCGCCCCCCCCCCCCCCCCCAAGGGCAAAGGGGGGTGCGGGTGGTGGGGCGCCCCCCCCCCCCCAAGGGCAAAGGGGGGTGCGGGTGGTGGGGCGCCCCCCCCCCCCCAAGGGCAAAGGGGGGTGCGGGTGGTGGGGCGCCGGGGGCTGGGAAGGGCAAAGGGGGGTGCGGGTGGTGGGGCGCCGGGGGCTGGGAAGGGCAAAGGGGGGTGCGGGTGGTGGGGCGCCGGGGGCTGGGAAGGGCAAAGGGGGGTGCGGGTGGTGGGGCGCCGGGGGCTGGGAAGGGCAAAGGGGGGTGCGGGTGGTGGGGCGCCGGGGGCTGGGAAGGGCAAAGGGGGGTGCGGGTGGTGGGGCGCCGGGGGCTGGGAAGGGCAAAGGGGGGTGCGGGTGGTGGGGCGCCGGGGGCTGGGAAGGGCAAAGGGGGGTGCGGGTGGTGGGGCGCCGGGGGCTGGGAAGGGCAAAGGGGGGTGCGGGGCGCATTCAACGGATCCCTTGCATTCAGTCATCCGCTGAGTAGCTATGGGCACCTAACCGCTACCATTGCTGATGCGCTGGAAGACACCTCGCATTCCCTCCTTATCGCTCATTAAAAGGGATGTAGGCACAAACCGCACCGACTTACTGCCGGGGCGACGCTCTCCCAATTATAATAAATTTTAATGTCAGAAACCTTCCCAAAACACCAAGTTTCTTTCGGTCATCTTTTAAGAAAATAATGTTTGTGAAGATAAAATAATACCCAAAGTTTCTTGGCGATTCGATGAAAACCAAAAGACTTGTAGAGTTAGATCAGAGTTTCTGCCAGGCATCTCTCCGCCCCCCCCCCCCCCCTCCCCCGCCGGTGAAAAAAGTCTGGAAGAATCACTGTGTTAGATGCATGTAAATTGAGGGGTGCCGGATTCCAATCTCACAAATGAGTGAAATTTCAAGTTTATTTATAGGGTAATTTTCTCTAATAGCTAACACTTTTAATTTGGATTCATAGTCCATGTCGTGATAGAGGCTGTGATATTATTTAATATAAATAAACTACTAGATTGTTGTGACTTTCATTGTTTTACTTTCCCTGACCACTCCGGTTGACTTCAATGAGGGGTTTGTGGGTGGGTTTGTTTGTTTTACATATTGGAATTGAAAAAAATAATTCTAAACGGCTTTTCAACGGCTTATATTCAATACAAAAATATGAAAATGAGTTTAATCGTTGAGGCTCGCTAGATGGGGACAGCCAGTCTTCTAGGAGAGACAATTCCAAAATAAAACAACTGCTGTCATGCAGTTTGTACTTGGTTGGACAAAGGCTATGGAAGCAAATCCAAAAAGAAAAGCAGGCTGAAATCGGAGTCAATGGCCTCAATGGCGCATAACCAGTTGACACGTAATCCTTAATTAATCCTTATCATGGTTGATAAATTAAAAAAAAAAGTCTCGAGTTCAAATCCTCTGGCAGATAAGACTCGATCGGTCCCAACAGTAAAAATTAAGAACGAAGAAGAAGAAGATGGTTCCCAAACAGCTATAAAAAAAAATTTAAATGTAACTATACTTTTTATCGTTTGACATAAGGGTTTGCTTCTCAAGTTCGTGTTTTGGTCTGCATGTCAAAAACTAGAAACCAATCGGGACTTATCAAGTAACAATATCGCTGTTTTAGAATTTTCCCAGTTGGTTAATTAAAAACGTTTTACGTTTAGGCCCTAAGAATAAAAATTAATCTCCCCGGCGGGGAATCGAACCCCGGTCTCCCGCGTGACAGGCGGGGATACTTACCACTATACTACCGAGGAGTACATCTATCGTTGCGTCAGCAAGTAATAATTTAAAATGGGAACTAGAATCTATAGAGATATAAATATAAGTTATAATAATTATTATAGTAGTATTAGGTTTATTATGGAATTATAAATTATTTGCCTATTCAAAGACGTAAAGAATACGTATTTACTAGATCTCTAGATTCATAGATCTAAATTTACTTAAAATATTTAAAAAACTTGTATATTATTATTTTTTATTTTAAGTCATTAAATGCCCGGAACTAGAATTTCTAGATTTAGAGTCTTGTCTAGACCTAATATTTTAACTCGCATGATGAAGAGCCAAGTTTTACTTGACTAAAATGTTTATTATCAACTTCTTGTCAGGCTAGGGCTCTTAAAAAAAAATTCATCCAACTTTTATTGGAAATGTCTGGTTATGAAAAAGAATTCTGAAACTGGATTCTAGGCTAATGAAAGATTTTAAAGTTAGTTAGAATCTAATCTAGATCTAGATCTAAATGTGAAATAAAACTGAAGTGTAACTAACAGTTACAGTTAACTTGAGTAACACCGAGATATCGGTAAAACTCCATTTTAGCGTATTTTATTCCCTGCTTTACGTTCACCTCCAGTTGAGCGTATTTTATTATAAACACAACCGAAACACACAAAAACGTCAGGAAAACACTAGATCTACATATTTTTTTATGAATGTGATTTTTAATTAGAAAAGGTAAAAAAAAACATAAAAAAGCATTAGAACTGTGATCTTGTGATCGTTAGCGGAAGAAAAATCCTTACACGGTCGCGGGTTCACAGTGAGTTCACTTAGACTTTAATTATCAGCATACGTCATAGCTCGGGCAATAGCTGTTTGAAATTGTGTTGGCCTCAGTTTTGGGTTCATTGTAAGTTCATACATGTTTATTTATAGTATCATGCCTGGGAGATACTTGTAACAATACAAACTTAACCGACTTGCAATTGTGAGTTACGTTTACGTACTTCACCCATTGCCATGAAAATTCTAACTGACACACAAACATAGCACATTCAATATTCTAAATTTGGATTTTTCTCACGTTTTGACAAAAGTAAATTATTAAAATCTAAAACAAAGTCTGTCTCTGTTTTTTTTTATTCATTTGTCAAAACAAAAATACAATACAAATAAATAAATCGTGTTTTCCTAATGTTTTGGTGTGTTTCGGGTATTATAATAAAATACGCTCAACTGGAGGTAAACAAGCAACGAAGAATAAAATACGCTAAAATGGAGTTTTACCGAGATATCTACTCTAGAATCTAGATCTAGATATCTAGATCTAAGTTCTTAGGCCTACACTTAACACTTTACTTTACACTTTTGGGTAATCTATCGTTTTGGGTACGTAAAATCGCCCGCGACTAGTAATGTGAAAAACAGGTGACTCCTTAAATTTTAATAATTATTTCACATTTTGAGGAAGATTTATGTTTTGAAAAATACAAAAATGTTTCCTTCTTTCATTTATGTACCTGTTTTTAAACAATTGAATTAAAACTTTTCAGTAATAAATGAAGACTAGCGATGTTTCCAACAGATGCAACCATGCTCATTTACTATAGCAGCCATCTTGTTTAAGTTTTTTTTTATAGCGGATATAGCGCGAGACAGGCGGAAGTCACTCTATTTTACAAATGGCTGCTGTTTATATAGCAAATCTTGCTCGCAAACACTGCTGTTTAAAGTTAATTTCTGGCATATATTGATATATTTAGCCATTGATTTAGGTTTATTATTCATTTATCTATAATATTTGACACAAATATATCACAATATACTTCTACTAAAGCCTTGACAATGAGGTAACTTTTTCGTACATTAATAGCCGCGGGCGATTTTACGTACCCAAAACGATAGATTACCCACTTTTGTGACTTTACCGTTTACACTTACACTCTAGTTACTAGAGTAGTAGATCTAGTAGTAGTAGACACTAGTTAGTTGACACTAACAGTGAGTAACAGTGTAGGCCTAACAATCCTAACATAGTAACAGTAACGTCAGTAACACTACTACAGTTAACACACTGTAACAGTATTATCACACTTTCACTTCTCACTTAAAAAGTTAAAACTTTTAAAGTTATTAAACTAAAAATAAACTTACATGTCTCTTAGTTATAATAGTTAGTATTAGTAAATAAGTCTTACGTGTTACAGTACTTAACAGTACACAATACTCTATTATAAATTGTATTATTCTATAGGGGGCCTACTGGGTCTACTAATTATAATAGTACTAGTACTAGATCTATCTAAAATTCTATACTATAGGCACTAACTTAAACTAGGTACTATTAGAATCTAGTACTTAGTACTAGTAAACTCTAGCTAGAGCTAGACTAATGAAGTATTTACTATTTATTAATATTATAAGCCCAGTGCTATTAATTGCAGAATTAGTAGTGTTGATAGTTTAGTAGACTAGCCTACTGACCATTTTTATATTATTAAGTACATAGGGGCCTAAAGTAGGCCATATTAATTATTAAGTTTTTTGTTATTAACTTACTTAGGCCTAATACTTAGCCTAACCAAAAGAGCAGGAAAGTGTAAAGGCGGCTAAGCTGCTTAATTAAAAATAAAGGCAAGACCAGTGACCACAGATAGGCCTATATCAAAAACATTTAAAACAAAATACTGTGTAGTCTTGTTGTATGCCTAAATAAATACAGAACAGTGAAAAGTATTAATTTATTAAATTAATAAATACTAATAAATAGGCCTATAGCCTAGTTAATAGGCATTTGGGGGTGGCAAATGGGGCGGTTGCTTGAAGGCCGGGGCCCAATGTTTCAGCATTGGTTGCTATTTTTAACCTTAAATAATAATTTCTGAATGAAATTGGAATAAAACTAAAAGGTTTATTTCCGACATAGTTGATTGTTGTAAATGTAACTGAGTTCATGCTTTATGTTGTGAGTTATCAGCAACCTGAAACCCAACAATTATATAGGAAGACATTAGTGTCACAACATTGGTATGCGTGGTAGTTGTACAGTCACCTGGTATTTGACCTGAGGTGGCTGGAGATGGGTGGATGCGAGTAATCCCCCAGCCAGCCTGACCTTTGATGTAAATTTGGGAAAATATGTAATGAGATACCCTATTGTATTTGGACCAATGTAGATTCTTTAAAGTGAGCAGGTGGGATGCCTGAAGTAGACCATTAGGGACATTACGAATGCTAGTCTTGTATTGTTCGTTGTAGTGTTCAGATATGTAGAACTTCAATACTTCAGTCGAAGAACAGCTATCGCTAATTCTGCACTTGTTGTCTTAAAATTTGTGGACAATTTCTTAGAATTTTTTATTGCTGAAAACACAACCAGGTTACAGATTGTCAGAATTGCGGCTAGCAGTCCCGAGAAATTCAGCTTAAATATTGATATCTGTTGAAGACAAGGGTATGGCAGTGGAGCTAATGGAAATGCCCATTTTGCCTGCCGCTTATTTGAATGGGAAGAAATCTAGCATATGACACACTTCTGTTGAACTGTCAATCGCATCACAACAATTCTCCTTAAAAACTAACCCACCGTATCAGTCATAGCATTGTAGCCTTTTAAAAACAAATGCATTTTTTCACAAATCGTTTTCTAGGCTACTGATAACTTTTGATAAATAAAATTGGTGACAAATTAAAGGTAAATAAATGTAGATTTTAATTTTTTAAGTCATCTTGAACAATACGAAGTTAAAATCTTGGGTGCCACTCTATTAATATTGGAGGCTAAGCCTAATTAATAATTTAACAAATAACTTATAGATAGGCCTTTACTTAACTTTCTACAGCTAGGCTAGATATTAACTTTTTTTTGCATTGACTGTTATTTAAACTTTAATCACTCTTTTTACTTAGGCCTATTTGTTTTTAGATTCTAGAATTTAAGCCTATTGCAACTTATTATTATCTAGGCCTTTTTTTTTAAGAACCAATGTTAATTATATTCTGCCCAACATGAAATATAGATATGCTTAGGGCTTATGCCTTTAGATCTATTCTAAACTCATTGATAATGAATAAAAATTATATTATTGCATTATCATTAACTAATTTCATTCAAGCTCAAATTGAGTTTTTATTTTACATTACATTTAGGCTATATGATGCTTTTTCTTAACCCACTTTTGTTTTCTTTTGAAAAATGCTTCAAATTTTACATAGGACTATTTGTAGCTTGTTAGCTAAAAATAGTGTTACAATATGTTCATCTTACAGAACATTTCAGTTATCATCAGATTTTATTATAAATCACAGAAAAATGGATACATACAGTATGTCAACAGTCAATAAACTAGTAGAAAAGACAAACTCAAAATCACATCAAAGAAAATGCAAATCTTCCAAATCAAAAGTGAAAAAACATAAGAAAATGGAACTTAACAATAGTTTAGTGTTAAAAGATCGTGAACTGGACAAAGCTTGGAAATTAAAAGTTTTTGATGCTGTTCAAGGAGGTTTTGATGATGATATAAAAGTATGGGCTTTATTGTAAGTAACCTACTTTTTAACATAATGCTGTAAGAAGTTAACTTTTTTTCTATATTTTTTTCATTGATGTCTAAAATCACTCTTTATCTAGGCTTATTCATTGCGACCCAAAAAGTTTTTTTATTCAAATAAAGACATTTTAAAAAAATAAAATGTATTGGTGCTATATATCGTCGAAGAACTTATTAAATAGCCTTCATTCATGTTGTCTTTATTAATGTGATTGTAACTAGTGACATATTATTCCTAGTGTTAAACTAACTAGTTAGTGTTCTTCCGAAGAGCCTGGTACGTCGGACTCCCAAGTCCCCTACATAATAGCGTGGGGGAGGAGAGGTGCAAGACTGCCGGGAACCAAAAAGGGTTTTCTCTCGACCCTAACCACATATTTTGACTTTAAGCTGCGGCCTTCTTGTGGCTTCGGAAGAGTGCCACTAGTCGGACCAAGCTCATGACCCCCCTAATGGGTGCGGAATGGCTAGTGGTAGCCAACAGCAGCTAGAGGTTTTTGATCTGGCCGAACGCCCCCCACGATCAAGCTGGGTGCCAGGCGTTAGGACGACGTCCCGCGTCTGGTGGGTGGGGAAGAAAGCCCGGTGAGAGCCGACGGAAGTAGCGACCGATGTGTGGGAAACTCTTGTGGTCGGAGTTTGCTACACTGAGGCCTGTCTGGCTAATGGAAGTCAACCTTCTGAGCCGGTTTCCGTATAGAGAGAGAGAGTTAATGTTCTATGTAGCACATATTTATTGTTTGATTTCCATTTCATTATTTCTATTGTTGTTTACAGTTTAGCCTGGGGTAGAGAACGTTTTTTCCATCTACTTGGTGTCATCAGTCTTTTGATCTGCACAATTCTGTTTGTGTTACAGGCCTACCTAGCGTTTAGATCTTATCAAGTAAGACATTCTTCTGCAACATTTAAATTCTTATTTATATCTGTGGTTGATAATTTGTTAGCCCTACTATAATTTAATTAGCTTATTCCTCAAGGTTTAATTATATGCCAAATAGTTAGAGAATGGTATGCTAGTGATTGGGAACGGTGTGGTCTAGCGGTAGAGAGCTGGACTGATGACCCGTAAGTGTAAGTTTGAGTTCGAATCCGGGTTCAAGTGAGTAGACCGTCCCTGAATCCACACAACTCTGATGGGTACCTAACTCACGTTAAGGAAAGTAAAGGCGGCTGGACATACTGACCACATTATCTCTTCACATGCCGAGGTCACAGAAACAAGTAAACTCTTCACTTGCCCGTTAGGTTTTGAAAGGGAACTCTACTTACTACTTTTATGCTAGTGATTTCTATTTGTGTTGTATCTGCATAAATGTCCACACAGTTATTGTGAAAATGCTTGTGTTGGTTATTAAGACCATGAATTTTTCTTGACATTTGTTCATTGTTACTGCATTTATCAGGTCTTACAAATTTTGCATTTCTTGCATGTACAAACTATCTGCATTCTTTAGATGACACATATTCACTTGTCTTACACTTGCATACTTCAGATCATGCATCAGCTGAATGCCAAGCCCCCCATACCAGAAATGCTGTACAACATTTACTTTGATGGTCATGATTGGGCCTTTAACATGGACAAAGTGGATTTACGTGCAAACACTACTTTGTTTATTCATTGAAGTTAACAAAGATTAACTATTGCATGATGAATTTTATTTTAACAGCTAATCTAATGCTGCATTTATCTTTTGTAAATTACTTGCTTTATAAAGAAAGTATTTATTAGAACACATGAAAAGAAAGCCAGTAAACTTACAGGCTGTGTTTTATTTATTAATATTTTTTTTGCATTTAAACATCGTATTAAGATTTTGTACAGTTGATGTATACTTTATCTAAAAAAAAGTTAACTAAAATTCTAATGATTTAGTGTAGACTTAATAAAGATTTTTCTGCAGTTAAATAGTAAACTTGAAAGTCAATGTTTTTACAACTCTTAAGGCATTAAAGTAAAGTAATTAAGAAATGTGTTTACCTGCAAGAATAATTATACGCAGCAGTTATGTCATTGACCTAAGTTGCTTTCTCACTTGATGGTAATGCTTTTCCTAATGAGATGAACTTAATTGTTGCAAACATCATGTTATTGAAGTGTTACACAACTCTAGCCTTGTGCCTTTGTGAACACATATTCATTAAAGATTTATTTTGCCACTGGGTATTTTTAAATTCTTTCAAATTTAACCTATCAAAAATATTATAATTTCTGTTGCTCTTATATAAGTTAATTTTATGTATTTTTCAAATTATTTTAATGATCTTTTTTAATGTGATTCTGTTTACATTACAAAACAAATTACTTTAGTCAACTTTTGTTGGCTGTTTCTACCTAGTTTGTTGTAACCAATTGTTATTTAAGAAAAGTTTTTATTTTATCTGTATTTAATTCATATTTTATTCTAATTTTAAAGAATATAACATACCCTAGTCTAATCTAGTAGCTGTGTGTTTGTATTTGCATAATTCCATCATCTTTTTTTAGATAGGAAAATGAGTTTAATATCAGTTTTACCCCTATGCCAGATAGCCAGTGCATTGTTTGTTTATGGGGAAAAAAGTTAGTGAAGTTTGAGAGCGTGCCATGTAATAAAAGAAGCTTTTTGGTCTTCTTGATTTTCTCATGCACTTGATTTATTTATTCTGACGCACTTGTCCTTTTTTTAAATCTCAACTAAAATTATCAACAGTTCCGAACAGAAGGACTCTTAAATCTCATGTGACTCACCGAAACTAGTGGAGCAGCCAAAACAGTGACTATATCCACACATATGTGAACTGAAGTGTTATTTAATTGATGTTGCAAATATTTCATGACATGGTGGGATCACTTGACAAAGTCTCAACACATTACAGTTGGTGTTCCATTTTTTTCATAGTTAGCTTGAGTTATATTTAGTATTAGTAATGTCAATTTCATTGTTGAGGGTTTTTTTTTTAAAAAAAAAAGCAAATCTATCATTTTGACATAAGGGTGTCATCAACTTATGCTGTCTACCAAAAAGTGGACATTTAGACCTTTCTGGAAAATCTGTTATCAAATATTAAAAGTAGATTTTAGAATGTGCTGTAAAGAATTTAAGAAAATATTTTAACTGTTATACAATGTATGAGAGTTATATATATTCCATATGAAAAACTGTTGCATAGTAGTGAAGATTTATCTTTTGTAACTTATGTAAAGAAAAATTTTCAAAGTATTATTTCTGTTGTTGTACACAGAGGTACTAATTTGTATTACTATAGCTTTGATAACCTGCTGAGCTGGGTTAATTTTTTAAAAGTACAGCCATTTAAATGTGTACATTTTGTATGCAGATTGCATGTTAGTTTCTAGTAGCAAATCAAATATTTTGTTGTAAAACTCACTGTGTGGGTGGATTTCCACATGGACCTAACCACCCAGTCTACACAAATAGACATCTTAAAAGGGGAGTCCCTTCAATTTTTAATACTGCACTAACAAAAAGAAATATTATGCATTGAAATGTTTTTCTTTTCTAAGTTTTGTTTGTTACTTAGTGAGTAAATTATGGGATGGCATGACCACATTACCCCTTTTGTATGCCGAGGTAACAGAAACAGGTTAACTCTACTTCCGTTGCCCAAATTCAAAAAGGGAATTTTACTTAATTGGAAGAAAAAGTTTAAGACCATTTAAAGAAATTTTAATATTTAAACTACAAAATAAACAGACCTTCATGCAGAAATTAGACATGTTTTGTATGCTAAGAAAAAAACAGTTGTAACTATTTCTTTAAAAGTTCTTTCAAATTTGTTTATATGATGCTATTTTTCAGAATTGTTTTTTGAAATGCTATTAATACCAGCTCCAAAAAAATATCAATTACTAGCTATTTTATTGTTAGCAGTAAAACCAGTACTACAATGTAATGCATCTTTTTGTTTTAACTATTTATGTGACACAATCAAAATATGTCAGGTTTGTTCACAATGTTGGCCACATTCAGGGGTAGTCAAATATGTGTCTGCCGCATTTTCTTGTGAAACACCTGCTTGGATGTTAATTTTACTTTGAAACTGTTGCTGCTAAATGTTAGTTGCACAGTAAATAGCATACACTAGGCATACAGATGCTTCAGTTAGTGAAGTAACACGGAGGTCTGTATATGTAAATATGTGGACATAAATATAAGAGTATGGTTGAATTGTTGATAAATCATTGATGTTTATTTTTATAAGGATTGGATATCTTGTGGCTATCTGAACCTCATTCCATTATTTTTAACAAAGTTATAATTACTGCTGCATTGTTTCAGAGCAGTCTTTCATGTTGATAGCATAGATTCATTTGATGAGACATTAAATAAAAACTAGTATCAGCTCCAAGAATATCTGATTGAGATTGTCATTGAATTCACTAAAAATAATTTGTTTATAAAAATGTTGCATCTGTTAATGTAGAGGCAATCGTTCTTTGTATCAGAATAGATGCATAGTTTAAACATACAGTTAAAGAATCAACCGCAGATACTTTAACATTCTTCTCTGTCTTTGACATTGTGCTACACAATTTTAAAATATTTTTTTTTTAATACATAACTTACAAAGCTCTTTATACACATTTGTTTCGTGTAGCCTGATTTGCTTTGATTATGGGTATAATTGGTATTTTGTTTGTATAAAATCTGGTTATTTGATAACTAGGATTAAGATTTTCTTGTCTTCTTACATTTCTTCATTGTATTTTAAAAGAAGTTGTGGGCATCATACAAAAAAAAATGTTGATAAAATATAAAAAGTATTTGCTTGTTGCATTTGTTCCCTTAACAAAGGTTTTAGTTTTTTCATGCAATTTTATTATTTGCAATTGCATGTGTTTTTTTTTTATGTTTGTTTTTTTTTTTTTTTTTTATTGTATTGTTCTGTGCATCATATGAATTGGAGTATAATAAAAGTATAATTTAATATGACTTGTTAAATAACTTTTCTTATAAACTATTTAACAAAGATTATTGACAATAAAAGTAAAAGCCCCAAACCATTTTCTTTACTGGTTTAAAGGAAGAACCAAAAATTTATTTTGAACTGTGTTTTGTTTGAATTAAAACTAAATGTTTCCACAATTTATAATTTACTTAAAGCTTGATATAGATGGAAAATCGGGTGTATTTATTACTAAGTTATAGGTAAGCTAGATGGACTAAATATAGCTAAGGTGGTTGTAGTTGGTGTATATACTGGTTCGTCTAGAGCTCAGTTGTTTTATACTTTGAAACAGATGTAGTGGTTGTGCCACAAAAAAAATGTAAAAGTATAATACACATAACTGTATGCACTTATATATAAATATATATATATATAAAGGCTTCAGTCTGGTATATAAATACACAAACATGAAGGATCTTAATATAGTCTATATATATATATATATATATATAATTATATATATATAAATATGTTTATATTAAGAAAGAGAGCTTTAGTTACAGAGAAGTGGTACCTAGAACGAGGCACTAAACAAACATGTAAGTGGCTTTTATAGGACTGAACTCATATATATCTAATAAAGCGGGAGTGATCTCCACTAAACTTTCTCAAATATTCTTATTTAACACAACGGGGATGTCTACTCAGGATATAGACATGATTTTTAATCTGTTTTTACATACTTAAACTTTTTTAAAAAAAGAAAAGAATCTCGTCGAGAAAAAAACAAAAAATTTAATTTACTCAACGGAAATTACTCAAAATATGACAGAAGGCAGACAATTTCGTTTATCTATGTGTAATACAATATTACTCAAGTAATAGGCTTCGAAAAACCAAAAGTAGAATAAGTTACACTTCCGGAAATCGCTGAAAAGTTGATACAGAACTAAAAATTAGATATAATACTTATACTTATAAATGAAATTCGATCAACCTAGATGTAGCGGTACTTAACACAGAGACATACGGACAAAATAGCAAAACTATGTTTTTCCGACGACTACAATACTTCCTATATACTTCGTATACGAGAAAATAAAAAGACGAAGTAAATTATCTTGTGTACACTAACAACGTATGGTAACAATTTTGTTTTTCAGGGTGAAATAACTACTTGATATCCTTTACATTGACTACAAATAAAGCTAATTTTCAAAAACATTCTAGTGTATTTATAGTTGCATCTCATCGTTAATTTAGGCCTAACATAATCTTACATAATACATATCAAACCATCGTTTCTGAAAAACACGCACATTCATGACGTCATTTATAAAAGGAAAAAAATATGTTGTTTTGGCTCACATTTTGAACATGCGTTTTTTTTTCAGTTTCCGTTTGCTTTTGTCTCTATTCTAATTTCTAAAGTTTAATTTTAAAACATTAGCCCCAAAAAAAACGGCTTTACTGGCGTTTTAATAAATTATCCAGCTTAAAAATATCAACAGATCTAAATTTCAAGACCTTACTTATGAACACAATTAAATCAGGCCAAACAGACAGACTCAAAACTAAGTTGTAGATCTAGTAGATTCTAGCTCTTGCGAATGACGCTCAAATATCTAATATAAATGACTATTGCCATTATTTAAAAGATGTTGTCATTTGTCAATAATAAGATGTTTTATTAAATAATAAGAGGTGATAATCTTATTATTTGATATTGCCATAAAGAGTTTCGACAAGGTAAATATTTATCTTTGTTTTAACTTTTTTAAAGCAAGATGGAATCCTGGCAATGGCGTCCATGACTACCATTAATTTTTTTAATCATAGTTCGACATTATGTAATAATGTAATTTATAGATCACGAGTAAAATTTTAAGTCTTATATTTACTTAAAATTCTTACTTTTCATCCTTATATAAATTATTTAAAAGTATGTACATTCCTACAAGATCTAAATTACTTGAACTTGTCTTGTAATTTCATTTCACTGTTGGCGAATAACTTTTACTTTTAACTTAGATTTTTAGATTATGAATTTTATGATGATCATCATGATATTGATAAATTAATTTTTTTAAAAATATTATTTAGGCCTATTATTTATTATTTAATACGAGCCGACCCGCGGCATATCATACGCCGCTATTTAGTTGTTTTATTTTCTACTTTTCAGTAATTCATAATTTGTGAATTCGACAGTACTAATGCTGCCACTGAAAATATTTGCTTTAAAACACTATCAGTAGGTTGTTAAGAACGATACTACCCCCACCCTCCTTTTCCCCAACCCTCCTCTCCTTTCCCCCTACCCTACACCCCCCCCCCCCCCCCCCCCGTGAAAGCAGCCTCCTCTTAGTTACCTCCCCTAAGTTTAAAATCGTTTCAAACTAAATTATCAGCCCCTAATAGCCGTCACTAAACCCGGCTCTACGAAAGTAAACATTTAGCGTGAACCACAGCTCACCAGACCATGTAGGGGTGGTAGGGAGCGCGCTTACAGCTTGTTTTCTAGCGTCTCCCAGAAGAGAATTATATATATAGATTATTTTATTAGGGGCTACTATTTACTATTATTATTAGGTATAATATTAGTATTCTTTTCTAATACTAATAACTAATATTATTAAGTAAGTAGCTACAACATTTTTCACTTATTGCAGGCTGAAAGTTTTGGCTGGAAAAAAAAACCTGAAAAATAAAATTTAATAGTATGTGACTCCTAATAATATGAATAGTTATAGTGTATGATCATTATTATTAAGTAGGCTTAGTAAAGTAATTTATTTTTAGTTTATTTGTTAAACTAGTCTGTTTAGTCGTTTAGTCACTTAGTTTTGTTATGAAGGCCTACTAATCTATACGTTTGTCAATAACTTTCTAGTTATTTAGGCAGAGCAAATATGTATGACATTAATCTTTTCAACGTGTTGATAATTCTTTGGATAGTCGTTGTGTGGCAGTTAGCTCGTTTTTGTGGTGTGGGTTCCATTCCGTTTGGCTTGTAGTGTTTATTTTGTCATTTTTTTTCATGAGAGCAGTTTTTGAACTTTTAAGGGTTACGGGTTAGATTTAGTCTTTGGGGTTACCATTAAGGATAGGGTTAGGTTTTAGGCATCAGGATAAGCTGAAAAGATTCCTGAAAAAAATTCTGGTTGGTGAGGATTAGGGTTTGGCATTTGGGTAATTATATGTGTTCACAGTGCATAGAAAACATTACCACAAAGGAACAAAGGAAAGCAATATGTTTTCCCCACTGCACAGTTGTGGTTTCTTCCGGCTAGAAGCAGCCTAAAAATAAATTACAATGATAAAAGTGAAATAAAATTAATTTTTAAGCATAGTTTAACATGACAAATTAAAATTTAACAAATTATTTATTAATTTTTTAAATAATATTAACTAACGATATTTACATTTATAACATAGATATTCACTGTAACCTTTTAAAGAAATGAAGTATATTGTTTTAAATATCTGACGATATATTTTCAATAATATGATACAATTTTTTTTTCCCTCAGAATATTAGAAAATGAGTTCACCACTTCATTCACTGAAAAAAAATAAAATACCCCTTTATCCTGGACATATGACAGGAAATCGCCCCATTCCTTTTCGGCATCCAGAATATTCTGATGATGAAAAAAGCTTATTAGAAGAAATAACGACACAAGTGACCCAAGAACATAGAAAAAAGAATATGTATTTCCCTCATTTAAATTTGTCAAATAGCCAGACAGTGCTAAAAAAGCCAGAGTCTTCTAGACGTGACTTTTCTCCTGAAAAGAAGAACGAAGCAACCTCACCACCTTCTGACTTTGAGCTAATGAAGCTGATGATTAACAGAGTAGCTCTGCTAGAACAAAAAGTAAATTTTTAAAATATATATTGAAGTCAATGTATCAAATAATAAGAGATCAATATTTTGTTTTGTTTCAAAATGTAAATTGTATTATTTCTAAAATATGTGAAATCTCTTGTATCAATCATGTTTACAGACACAAAGTCAGGAGAGTGAAATCAAAGCTAAAGACCGGCAAATTAAAATTCTAGAAGACAAGCTGCAAATTTTAGAAAAAGCCAGGAAAGAAAACACTACTTCAAATGAAGTCAAAGACCTAGAGACACATTGTCTGCTGCTCAAGCAACAGGTTTGTTTCTAGTTTTCAGAAAAAAAATTCTGTTTGTCCGCAGTAAGTAGCTTCATCTGCTGATTAATTACAAAATAAGTGGCACTTTTTTCATGCTTGAAATAACTAAATAGTAGATTTATATTGTTACCTTTTGAACATTTTTTTTTACCTGATTTCAGTCTTTTATACTTTAATTATCAGGTACATGAAATGGAAACATTTTTGGCAGATTATGGAATGGTTTGGGTAGGAGAATCCACAACCTTAGACTCTAATGTTTATCTTCGAGATAGCATTGATGAGGATGATGATGAAAATAATAATGTGACAGAAATATCTATTCGAAGTGATTCTCCGGGCAATTCAATAGCTTCATCTAACCCCTTTGGAATTTGGCGACAGGACTTGTCACTACCTGTTGCTCCCATCCCTCTCAACATAGACTTTAATCTGTTAATTGAAAACATAAAAGATTTAAATGTGTTAGCTGGTGAAGGTGTTGCAAAAATTAAAAAAACTGCAGATGGTGCAAGATTTGAAATTCCTGATCCAGTGCAATTAACCATCTATGCTAATGGCATCCTAATGTATGATGGACCATTCAGACCCTACACAGACCCGACAACTCGCCAGTGTGTACAGGATTTGCTTGATGGCTACTTTCCTACAGAGTTACAGAAAAGGTGATTTCAATATTTTCATACACACAGGGGCAGGACACTGAGCTGGTGGGCTGTGGTGGGGGGGGGGGGGGGGGGGGGGGGGGGGGATTAATAGATATTCATAACCCTAACCCTAACCCATGGATACCCAAAATTACTAGGACTCACATTAAGTTACAACTTAACTTCCAGCCTTTAAATTCTGAATGTCATGAGACCATAATTCTTAAAATTATTATATGCATACATTTTTTTAAATTATTCTCCTTCTCCCCCCCCCCCCCCCCCCTCGAAATCCTACCGCTGTCACGGTGCTGACCCGCTGTACATTTCACTGAGGTTGAACCATAATTTCAGCCATTTAACTAATTACTACCAATACTTCTCTAAGTTTTTATAACATGCCACTGTTGTGATTTTCACTTGTTCCATCAAGTGAAAGGGAAAAAACAAATGAACTGGAGGTTAAAAATCTCTTTACTTGCTTTACTTGAAATTTAAGACTCTTATTCAGTATTCATAGATTAGTAGGTTTTGTTTGATCTTCATGTTTACTGCACACTTAAGCACAAAATGTTCAAATTTATATCTAGAAACTTTTATTTCTAGGTATCCTGACGGAGTACCTTTTGTTGTGACTGATTTGCGTGGAACTTACTTTCAGCCAAAAAAACACCTATTAGCTTTTGCTGGAGAGGGTCAGACACTTGGAGGTGAGATTAAACCATCACGTTTGATCCGTACAAATTTACGAGATGCAACCAAAAAATTCCCACTATCAAGTCCACTTGGACACACTGAAAAACTTGGTAATTTATTTCCTAATAAAATAATTTTAACTAAGGAAGTAAACAATGTAAAGCAGATTTGTTTCATTTACTAAAATGTTTTTATTTTTTCATAACAGACAAGTCTTCAGAATCTGTCATTACAACAAGCAGGCTGCCAAATAAACCATTGACACAAGCTCAGTTTCTACACAAGATACCCAAGTCTGTGGTCAGAGATGGCAAGATTATAGACATCCGGGACTCTATTCAAAAGACACTGCTAGGCAATGACGACTCATACACTAAGCCAACAGTCACCCCAGTTATTTCTGTATCAAAAAGCATCTCAGATACTGCTCAAAATGCTGACAGATCTAAATCGGCAACTAAACTACAGGGGGACATAACAACATTGAGAGTAAAGGCAGAAAATGGCAGTGATACTTATATTGTGAAGATGTTATTCACTGAAACAGTGGGAGACCTGAGAAAACATTTGGATTCCCTCAGAAGGCCTAAGGTACCCTATGATATTGTTACTACATTCCCATTTAAAATACACAAAAATAACACACTGTCTCTAGAAGATAGTGGTCTCACTCCCACTGCAGTCCTACATTTGAAGCCTCATAGGGAATTATAATTTTAAAAAGCAAATGAGTTTAAAATGTTTATCACAGTAAAGACAATACATTTTATGGAGTTTACTTTTTTAGGTATAAAATTGCATCTAAATATTTGAAAGGTAAATTAATGGAAACTGACTGAGGCTTTTAAAAACAAGTTATGTTTAAATCCTAAAACTGTGACCAATTTTGTTACATTTCATATATCAAAGGAGTTTGGAGATTTTCTTTTTTTTTAAAACAGATATATTTAAAAAAAATAAAAATTTTAAGCTTAAAGATATTGTGTAACATTTAAGTATTATTTTGATGTAGAAATATACAATTTAAATACCAGGAAAAGTACTTGATTATCATTAAAAAACCATACCAATATTTTCACAAGTCAAGCATGATGAGCTAAAATTCAGATCAATAATTTTGAAATGCTTTTAAACCCAAGACAGAAGATTCTATACCCTTCTTACTGTCCCTTAAATAGGCTTTTCAATGCTAACTTTGTGTGCCATGAAATGATCCTCCTTTTGCCAACCTTTTATACAAAGTAAAATCGCTAACACTGCTTGGTGGTTATTTATTTTAATACCTGTGCTTTCTACGTACAAAATACCAACATATATTAACTTTTTGGACAATAATTAGTTGTTTGATAAATTAACATTAAAAATATTTTTGTGTGTACAATGAAACTAGTTTTAATTTGATAAATAAAAACTGTTATACCTTGTATTTCTACTTTATATTTTTACACAATTACAGCATCTATCAGAAAGTTAATAGAAGAATCTAAATGTTTTTTTATCTGAACAATGTAGTGTTTGATATTGTGAAAACAGAACCCAAGTTTTTTTTAATCCAAGTGCATTAGTAGCACAGTGCATAAAATAAGTAAATAACACATCTGTAAGTTGTTATATAACAGCCATCAGGCTTAATTTTACATCTAATTTCTTATGAAACTAACATTTATTACTTGGTATATAATTCATCTAAGCCTAAGAAACAATGAACATCACAATGTATAAAAACTGAGTAAATGCCTACTCTGTTTAACTCCAGATGTCATTTTTAAATATTTCTTGATTATTTTGTTCTCATAAAAATCTTAATATTTATCACTTGAAGTGTTAACTAGATTTCTGCTGTATAATATCCCTGGTATTAAAGTAATGAATGAAAATATAAGGACTAATTTATATTTTTTATATTTTTATAAATACATGTACTTTTAATGTGTTGAAGCAGGATCAAATACAGAGTTTAACAGCTATTTTTTTTGGCTTACTTACTTTAACCTAACATACATACATATGTCTTTAAATAAAAGATTGTTTACAAAGAATACAAACTTTGAATTCACCCAACACCTTTTAGTTCATACATAAAACTGCAATAAATTAACATAAATGACAGCAACAAACATTGTCACTGTTAACGATTTGGGGAAGAATTTAACAAAACTTCAAAACAAAACTTGCTGTTATAATTTTAATTCAAGCCCAGTTGACTTCAATCTCTTCAAATAATACAGCATGCTTTAGTAGAGGCAAGAATAAAAATTTCAACACAATGCAATCAATTCTGCACTCAACCCAATGGAATATGGACACTTAAATCATATACAAAATTTAGTCACACTTGAATGCTTACATTACCAATGGCCTAACGTAAACATTTAACAACCAGCCATCTAAAGTCACATTTTAATATCAATATTTGGGAAATTAACAAAAGCACAATGTTTAGTTACAAGGATTAATAAGGGGATAGTCAACAAACTACACAATTTTTAAAAATAAAATATGACCTTTAATAGCTACTTAGTTTGCACTGACAAAACAAATTTAAAAGACCGATTAATACACCTTGATTACCTTTCTTTTAAATGTACACACACACACACACTTCACACAGATATTAGGATTTTTCTTATTTTAAATACAATTTAAATTAATTCCATTCACAAATCATTTTCCCAGATATACACCACACTTTAAAAAACATTCAATGTATTTTCAAAATATGATTGATGCTCAAAATAACATTCAGATAGACTTGAGCTACATATCTTTAAGTAGAGGGAGACTATCCTCACAGGTTACCATAGCCTGTAGCTGTATGGATTGAGTAGATACAGAACATAACTGAGAGGCATGGTTGATGAAAAAAAAAGTTGCTTTAATGATTCACTCTTACAAATGATAACACCAACTACAAATGTCTTACTTGTCTGTTACAACTGTCAAGAAGTAGCACAAAAAACTGTTTATAATTTACTAAGTCTGCCTTTGAATTTTTCTAAAGTAAATTAAATAATTAACATGAGGCATTACAAATTTCAAATGTCTTAAATTGTGGATGAACGTGTTAAATATTGAAACACCAAGGCACAATTTTTCTCAAAGATTTAGAAGTTTCAAAAAGTAAAGCTGTCTATAGAAAATGGTAAATACAATTCTGCTACAAGGATAATTTTATTAAATAGTAATCTATACTAACAATCGTTTTAGTGTAATAGTGCCTGGATATTTGAAAACTTACTTCCAAAAACAAAAAAGAAATTGGAATACAAACTTCCAACAAATTAACACCAAGGCAACAGACTATTAAAATTAAAAATTAATGTGATTTTGAAAATCAAGTGAAATTACAATGCATTTCTTACCCACAGACCTAGTCAAGTATTTCTGAGAAATGATTTGACACCCCCTCACCCCAAAATAAAAAATTTATCAGGATTTGATAGTGATAGAAAGTTAATAACTTTTATACTTAAAGTCAAAACCCTATTTGATCTTTTTTTTTAAACTTTTTATTTAAAAGCTTAACTATTATAAATAATCATCAAAATTTCTAGCTTCCTTTAGAGTTTCAAGTAAGAGCAAGAGGGTAGAACTGTACAATTTTGAAAGCATAACCAGCCATCCACCAAACAATAAGTTACTTGAAAAAAAAGTTGTAAATAACTAACAAAAAAATATCCGTAAGGACGGGCCTCTCGATCATCACAGATGACGATGTTACAGAATGCTGCAGCTATGATGACTCCCGTTACGACCATTCTTCACCCTTAATCTAGATTTTGCACGATAATGCTCTAGATAAGCAAGCTGTTTGGTGTTTATAGCACCTCGCCTTTTCCTGGAAAGAAAAATATATTTTTAAGTTTAACTTTAAAAAGTGTGGGAATTCTATACTTTAAGTATACAGAGCCTGCGTTGCAACACATAGGTATAATAAATAGTGTAACTGCTATTACTCTCTAATCATTTCCACAGCATCTTCATATTTTAAACCAGCCTCCATTAAAGCCAAAGCAACTAGAACAGGAGCCCTGAATAGAAAAAATATATCACATTAACAATCCAAATTTTTAAAAATAAGGACATTTAGAAAGATCAAATACATAAATTCAAATAAGCCAAAAAACAAAACTTATGACACTAACCTTCCTAGACCTGCTACACAATGTACAGCTACACAACAACCTGGATCTTCTGAAAAGCGAGTTTTGAGCAGATGAAACCAGTCTTGAACTATTTCAGGTGGAGGAGGACTCCCATCATCAAACTCCCAGTCCTGGAAGGAATTTTTGTTTATGGTATCTCTATAACAAAGGGTAAATTCTTATTCTTGAGAAAATAAACACATTCAACACTAATACCTGTTCCTTATATAAACACATGATAAATGAATAAAATTAACAAAATTATAGATTTAAAAGTAACAGAATTTTGTTAAATTAAATAAGTTCAGCAGTAATTCACAGAAATTCACTATCAGATAAAAAGCACCACAATTGATTACTAAGCTTAAGGGGGGACCGGTACTTAATTTTTATTTTATTAAAGATCAGCAATTGAACATTGTCTACATAGCTAAAACAAAGATATTGATATGTTTTAAAGATAACATATCTCAAACATGTTGAGAACAAATGTTGAACCCCAAAAAGTTGAGTTTATATGTATTTTTATATGCAATTTTGTATGCTAAAAATCTCAGTACGTATAAGACATAATAATACACAAAGTAAAAGCCACATTTAGAAATGGTTACAGAACAAACTGATAGAAGGATGTTTAGATTAAACACAAACGTTTTAAAATATGAATTTTTTTCAAAGTCACTTAGAAAAAAGAGTCTTTGTGGAGAGACATGAACTTTAAACAACCATAAAAATTAAATAAATAAAGGTATCATTAAAAGCTTCTATCAGTTTGCAGAACAACCTATATTGTAAAGACTGTGCAAGTTTCACTGTATTCTGTAAGACAGTTTTTAATATTTCTTCTCTAGAAAATTTGGAGTAGGCCAAAAAGTGTCAATGCTTATTTTTGTAAAAAATAAAATGTTATCAAAACTAGGCATCTATAAACACTAAAATAAGTATTTCAACACATTTTTTGAGTACAGTAGATTAGTTCAAGTAATTGATGGGATGTTAGAGTTGCATTAGACTATTAAATATACATAGGCAAAAAGATAATGAAATTGCGATTTTTAAGTACTGGTCCCCCCTTAAAGAAATGTGAAAGCAGTTTACACAAAAGGGCTTGTTAGTCACATTCTCATTAGTCAGGGAGAGATAGAAATTTTCATACTAAACTAATAGTTTTGAACATGACTCCCATTGACAACAAAAACATAGCAAATCTTTATTTTTAGGCCTCACTTCACAAGATTTTAAAAAACCAAGAGTATACAATATTCAACAATTATAAAACTTTTTAGTCATAATAGAATCAAATCAGTACAGGTAGGCCTAGGCAATTAATATAACACTAGCCATCAGTACCCGTTTCACATGAATTATAGGCCTATATATTTTAAAATGTTGAACTTGTTTGAGAAAAATAATTTATGAAATAGTTATTGGTCAAAACGCAATGTGTTTTACTACACGCTGCACGATATTAGTGACAAAGCAAAGAAATAACTAATTAGCTAAAAATCCGACACATTTAACATAACACAGGCACACACTGATTAAGTGACTCTAAATCAAATTTGAATGAAATAGTTCATTTCTTTTATTCTAAACTCGGCAGATGACATCATTAGTTAATGTATAAACAGTGACGTCGTTTCATGGGTTCTTTTTCACAACTATAAACGCTTTTCCTATTGTATAATTAATACTTTTTCCACATTCGAATACGCCTTTATTTTTTATTTTTCTTCTTTAAATAAAATGTTGGTTATACATTTAATTTAAATGTATAACCAACATGTTTTAAATCAAAACATCTACCATATTATTTTCAACAAAAGTCCGTATCAAGTTCTCCATATAACGCTATTGATTCTGATGTGATACCCTGCGAAAATATTTTGCGGACAGAGAGAGAGAGAGGTGTGCACATGGGCTTTTATATATTAGGATGTTAATATTGTAACCACAATTACAGATTTGGATAAATATTAAACTACGCTTCTTTACCCTAAAGTATGCAGTATATCATAAACATTTACATTTTAAAATCACAATAGACTAACTTCAGAAAGTAACTTTCTTTTCTTACCGATTTAATAAAAATAGACATTTGGTTTGAAATATTAGCTGGCAAGAAAGAGAATTTGGTGACAGTCCAGCAGAATTTAAGAGCACAAGTTATATATGAGAAGAAGGGGTACAAGCATCCTCCGCTGGCTAACAAAGTTTTCCAGTAATATTTATTTAGTTTAGTCCTTTGGATATTACTTACATACCTAAGTGTGTATCAAAATGTCTTCTAAGGTTGGAAACCACTGGTTTATAAGTAAAAATTAACCCTCTTACTACCAATACATAGATCAGTTACTGAGAGACTTACCATAACCCTAATACCACTTTCTCCTAGTTTTTCTTTACTATAAGTAGGCTCACATACTCGAACAACATCCTTTACTCCATGTTTTTGAAGTTCCTATGAAAGATATAAAGGAATATACATGAGGTGATGATAAAGATGAATATATGACAGAACATGGATTTTTTAAAATTGCTCAATGGATAAAAGAACATTAGAACTAGAATGCACCGACAATGTTACTGAAGTATACGCTGAGGTAAAAAAATAATAATGAAAAACAGACTATACACAAAGTGAGACAAAAATAAAGCTCAGTCTTTTAATATGTTCTGAAGACCAAATTAAATGCAAAATCTGAAAGAAACACGGGCACATTAGCAGGCAAGCATTTAACTTCAAATTACTCAACAAACACCAAAGTTACAATCACCTGAAGAAATTTATCCAAATTTGCATCAGTTGGTCGATCTGTGATTAAAAACCTCATGTTCTTGAAGCAGATCTCCGCTGGTTCGGGTCTGCGTGCCTTCATCATGGATGCAGCCTGGGGCAGATCGCATTCGTGGCGCCAACTAAATTTATTGAAATTCTTTCCTCTTTAGGAAAGAAAATATCCCTTGTATGACAGCTTCTTTTTTGTAATAAATATACTTGCCAGTCGAAAAGGACAAAATAGATTTTCTCAAACCAAATAAAACCTAAGAAATGTTTTGGCTATTATTATCTCTGCAATGCCTCAGTGTATAATACTTGAAAATCAAATGAGGTAATAATACTACAGTTGCCTACAATGTAAACACAACACAGCAATGAGCAATATCCTGGATTCTATAGTAAATGACAATGTTGGAACACTGAGGTGACTTTTAATAAGTTGGAAATCACGTCCTCAAAGCCTTGAGATGAACCACAGCTATTTCTTTCTGTTTGAATAGTCTCTCAAACTGGTTGAAAGACAGGTAGGGTGTCTTGCTTACAAAAGTAATACTTTTATTAATCACTACTTGTACACAAGAAAAGTAAACTATTTTGATCTTATGCAATGCCTTCCATAGGTTTTGTTGCGTTTAGGTTAGGTTTATATGGTCTGGCTTTGATCAAATATCCAACACTGTCTTGAAAAGGTGACAAATGTCACAGTGGCCTGATTGTCAATTATATTGGGGTAGGGACTGAGCGACTGATCTGAGATATCTACCCCATTAAACTGCTGTGGGTAAAAATAGAGTGATGAAGAATCTCTCAGGCTTGGCAACTCTGGGCCAATGTGGTCCAGATGTAAGTGATCACCAATCTAGCTGTATAACATCAAAGTTTCAAAACAGATAAGAGTATTTCAGAAGTCTGGAAGTCTATCTTGTGCAGGTTACCATGAATTTCAACAAATACTTCACTTGTATGATGATGTTCAACAAAAACAAAAACAACAGCACCTAAATAGAAAGAAAAAATATATATAAGCAATAATTGCAAGATAAAATAGCTATGTTTTAAGCCAGGATAACACAATGCACAAAATAAATGATATATAGCTCTTTTAAATAATGCAGAAGTACCTAAAAACAGCTGAAAGAAGATAACATACTGACCAAGGTGTGCAGATTTCTGTAGCAATATACTGCTGTGTTAGCAGAAGTTTGAGGTCTTACTCCTCCCGTGGAAAGTGTTGTGCCTGGCAGTAATCTCCGCTGTTGGTGACAAACTCCATAAAGGTGTGGCCAAACTCACCGAAAAACTGTAATAGTCAAATAATATACAAATGTTTATCATTCTATGTGAGACCCAAATAAATATGACGTTTCCATATGGGCAAAAACTACCACAATTAAAGTATCCACATAGGCAAAAATTACCACTAAATAAATAAAGTACCCATATGAACCAAAATTACCACAGAGTAAATAATTGTATCCACCAGCTAAACACTTGAACACAAACATAGAGTAGCCTATCCACTTAAGTCTACTATACCAGATGGCACATTATCAAATACTACAGAAGTATGTAGTAACATTGTTCAATTAAGCCTATTTTTCTCAAATCAGAACCAGCTAATCACAATGCATGGGTACGTGTGCTGGTCAGTACTAATCTGATCAGTAAAATGGGAGCCATCAGCAAAATAAGGTCAAGCTAAAGTAGGGTCACGCTCAGCTCACACAGACGGCCTACCAGGTGTGTGACAGCCTGCTGACACGGAAATGTGATGTTAGCACACTCAACAGAACAAACAAGCCACTGTACAAGAAAACCTGCCACCACCTGACGCTAACACACATCAAAGACAAAGTGGCCCAAACATCTCGGTACTGATCTGGTTTGACAAGCAGATATACAACGTCTCTCAGTCTAACCAACAGCACAGGTTCATCTGAGAACAGAGAGCTACACGCTCAACAGTACACCCTACACTGGCCTACAATCATTCCAGCCACCTAAACATACGACTGGACTGCTCCTGTACTTTAAACCTCTAGTCAGTGACAATTTCACTTCCTTCCATATACAAATACAGCAGGGGTAGCTGAGATCGTTTAAAACGGGGGCCATAACAAAAGCAACACGAGTGGCACAATGGCAAGCTTGATGTGCTAGTGGGGCGGGGCCAACAGGTGGATGTCACTATACACGCCTTTCTCAACTAAGCAAACCAGACGAGAACTAAAATGAAGCAGCCTCCAACAATTGAGCTCTATGTTGAATACGCAGCGTGGAAGAGAGCACACAAGGACAGAATAAATGTCATGGTGCCAGGAAAAAAAAGTGAACCAAGAATGGAATGCTGAGCGTGTAGCGCACAGATACAGACTAGCCCCACACAAATCTGTGTACTCAAAACAAGCCGTTCTGTAACCAACACTGGTACTTGTGTGTATTTAGGTATTGCATGGCATTTATACTTCCTACGCCACCGTAACCACACATGTTATTAAAATATGTGTACATCGTCAAGAATTTAATAGTAGTGTTCGTCGACAGAAGTCATCGATTCAATAGCTCGACAATTGTTATGGAAGCGTAGAAGGGACATATTAAGGCGTTATAAAAGCAAATACTATGTTCATTACAAAAAAAACAACACGAAACTCACTACTGTGGTTGAGAAAAAGCAATCCAGCAACTCACTGATCACACAACAAATTCGAGTCTTGTAGCAACAGGTTCACAGAAATACGTGCAACTAAACACATGACAATAAACGCTAACGAAAAGGTGTACAGCGGTGGAAGAGAAACAAAACTCAATGTGTTGCCTTGCCAACGGCAAATAGATCGGATGTGGTAAGGGGCTGGGCGCTATCTACCACCTTCCATCCACCCTTTAAGGTCAATCACAGTATTAAAAAAAATACCGAGAAAGGTATTCAAGAAGTGAGAGGGAAGGTAGACACCGGCACACCGCCCAAGGCAGAGGATGGGACGGGATGCAGTCTAGCGTTTTGCCGATAATCAGCTAATAAACCATGACGACCCCCACTCATATGGACATCATGAGAATACTACAAATATGGTACTTAATATAAGGTAATCAAATAGCAACTGAAGCCTTACAAGCTGGCAACCACAGACGGAGAAGACTAGTATTCTCACAAAACCTTTAAAAAGTATGAAATGAAAATAAATAGACAACGAGTGTGGTAAACATGTCGAGTAATTAGCATCAGCCCACAGCCGAGCACTACCATGTGAGGGAAATCAATAAGCAGTCTGTGCTATAGATCACACACCAATGTCGGTCGGTGCTATAGATCACGCACCAATGTTGGTCGGTGCTATAGATCACACACCAATGTTGGTCGGTGCTATAGATCACGCACCAATGTTGGTCGGTGCTATAGATCACACACCAATGTTGGTCGGTGCTATAGATCACGCACCAATGTCGGCCGGTGCTATAGATCACGCACCAATGTCGGCCGGTGCTATAGATCACGCACCAATGACGGCCGATGCTATAGATCACGCACCAATGTTGGTCGGTGCTATAGATCACGCACCAATGTCGGCCGGTGCTATAGATCACGCACCAATGTCGGCCGGTGCTATAGATCACGCACCAATGACGGCCGATGCTATAGATCACGCACCAATGTTGGTCGGTGCTATAGATCACACACCAATGTCGGCCGGTGCTATAGATCACGCACCAATGTTGGTCGGTGCTATAGATCACACACCAATGTCGGCCGGTGCTATAGATCACGCACCAATGACGGCCGATGCTATAGATCACGCACCAATGACGGTCGGTGCTATAGATCACGCACCAATGTCGGCCGGTGCTATAGATCACGCACCAATGACGGCCGATGCTATAGATCACGCACCAATGTCGGCCGGTGCTATAGATCACGCACCAATGTCGGTCGGTGCTATAGATCACGCACCAATGACGGCCGATGCTATAGATCACGCACCAATGTCGGCCGGTGCTATAGATCACGCACCAATGTCGGTCGGTGCTATAGATCACGCACCAATGTCGGCCGGTGCTATAGATCACGCACCAATGTCGGTCGGTGCTATAGATCACGCACCAATGTCGGCCGGTGCTATAGATCACGCACCAATGTCGGTCGGTGCTATAGATCACGCACCAATGTCGGTCGGTGCTATAGATCCCTTACAAGTTCAAGTACATAAAAAAGCAATGACGTGCAGCCATTAGATGATCGAGGAAGCAGACTAATTAACTGTTCTATTAGAACTTGAGAAAATATCGATTAACCTCACAACCTCGTGTACATATGGGTCAGGCGACAGAAAATAAATGACTGTCGTACACAACCAGTCAATCGTGTAATGAGACCAAATACACTGCAAGCAAGACTTTCCACCCCTATTGTATTCAAGTCTAGCCCATCAATGGGCGATCGGCTAATGTTTGTTTATTTAAAGCAGAAGCGTGTACATTTTTTTTTTAAACTCGTTCTGTCAGTAGCCTATTAAAAAAAATGAGATTAACTGTCTACTTCCAACTTGGACACAAGACCAGCACAGCAAAACAATGTTTGACGACAGATAGTAGATAGCAACAAGGAAGGTATTCCGCTTCAATTGGACCATTAAACGTCTAGCCAATGGAAAAATGGAGTGAAAAGCTGAAGAGAAAATCAATATAGAAAAATCTAGTTCCATCTTTCTTTAAAGTAAAGCGTTGAAAGATAAATACAAGACTGCGAATAGTTATCAAAACGCTGCTTAGATGTGGTCTAAAACTAACAAAACAATTCTAAAGCTTTTTATCCCCCCCCCCCCCCCCATACACCATGTTAACCATTACAATACCGAGCATAAGCCGTAAACTAGGAACGGATAGATAGCAAGTGTGTCGTCTACTACTTCATTCGTAACACAAGGCATAGACCATCCTAGACAGTACTATATTAAAATACCGACTGGATATTTGCAAGGACTGCGCATGACAAACCTAGCAGAAAATAGATCACGGGGTATGCCGCATTCTGTGACCCATTCACGAGTAAAAGCGCATTGCATCACAGAACACGGTTAAAGGTCAGGGCAGACAGCAAGCACATGTACCAGTGGAACCTATACAACAACACATGCCCCTCAAACAACACAGTCTGTCTGACGCACATATCCCGAAGGAAATTGAAATACACTGCACGTTACTTTTTTTTTAAATCTGACTGAGACGCGCCACGGACTTGAATATAAAAAGTGTCTTCAAGTTGACTGTCAACGAGGGCTGCGTGGAAAGATAAGCACGATATCGTGGAATGTTCAAACAGGGGGCCTACAGGATTGGTTGGCAATGGTACCCCCTAATACACGCAACTAAACACTACATAAACATAATACGTTAGACAAATCTCCGCCAATATTGCCACGGCTAAGAAAATACTGGTCTTCAAGCAACAATAGTCTACACGGCTTGTCTGCTCATCTAGTAAAAAGCAATACTTTCAAATAGGATTATAGATCTTATGTCGATAGAACAAAGCAAGAAACACACAAGTAAACATCAAAGCTATATATAAAACTTAATTATGGACTAGTGTGATTATAAATATAATACATAGAAAGTCGGCGTTAGCCTCAATGAATACACTACTATTATGATAATTATCACCACGTCGACAACAAACAAGGCAATTCTATACATTGAATAGTCGACGCAGAATGAAAAACATAAAACAGGAAAATAAAAAACTTCAAACACAAGCCTGAACGAGGATTCAAGTACGATGCCTAAAGAAAATCCCTTAAAATCGATTTTGGCTCTAGAATGGGAAAATAGTGCTATAAAAACACAAATTACTAGTAAAATTCACACAAGCTTTCTTCTATCGTCATTTCACGGGGAACCATTAGTATAATTAGATTTCACCAATAAGGTCCACAATTTTGTTTTCATTAAATATATTTTAATTTAAACTGTCCAAAATTAGAAATCACACGGGCTGCGTTAGATTATGTTTATTTCAACATCCTGAACGACAAGTAGCCCGAACATGTTTATTTCGCGAGATAAACAAAATGAAAACTAAGTCGACAATACGCATTCAATTCTCGAGTTATTTCCATACCAGTACACAGACGTCATAACGTCACACTGCAACAGGCGGTTCATTTATACTTCGCTTAACACGTTCGTACACATAGCTATGACGCGAGTAACAGCTATACAAAACAGCATTCGCAAAAGCAATATAATTGTAAGAAGTAACAATTTTTCACAAAGAAAGCTAAAGCTCACAAAAATGTTGACACATGTCAAAACAAACGAGAAAAATATAAGACTTAAATTAATCCCCACTATGCAGATAATAGAGAGTCGACAGAAGGCCCTCCCAAACAACTCAACACTATTGGTCAACCTATTAGGGCTGACAAAGATCTTCGATCTATAATGATTGAGCATTTAGAGGGGCTAACACCTCTGACTGCAAAACCATGTGCTGTTTGGTTGAGGGGGTGGGAGAGGAATAAAGAGACAAAACTGAATATAAAACAGCAATTACACAAGTGCATTTTCAGCGCCAGAACACTTTTAATAACACTATAAAAAACGGGCACAATCGGCACAATCAGAGACTTTTTGGGTATGAAAAACATCTGCACAATATGACAAATTTGAAAAGCAGAGTCAAAAATAATGAAAACCTGAACAGAAAAACAGGTGGAATAATAGCAAACCAGAGGCCTAGGAGAACAGCACAGAGAAACTACAAATAGTGTTACTTGTATGACAAGGAATAAGATTGCTTTGCTTTCAACGGTTTTTGGATATTGACCTATACAGTCTAAACACAAATGGAACAATAAAAAGGATGTAAAAGTATGAGAATAAAAAAAAAACTACAATAAATAAAAAAAGATATGTACAACAATTCCATCACAACATGAGGCTAAGCTTTCACAGAACATATTTGCAACTATTTACATTCTTCAAATCTGCATTACATTGGCTAAATGGCAAACTGTTTAAAATGTATCAAACTTGCTTACAACATGACAACCAAATGTTTATATCATGTGAACTGATTGTCTTATTTTAATATTTACTATTGTAAATGGTAAGAAATGTGTGCAGAACAAGTGTTAACAGAAGTAGAAATCACACGTAATTTAAAAATACATTTTCAGAAAAATCGTTGTGGGATACAGTACCAGCAAACATATTTTACCCCTATCAATAAATAAACATTCTGACAGTTTTCAGCATTATTTTAATAAATTTTATACATGTTTTTCCTTTTTAGTGCGTATCCAAAATCGCAATGACGTTAAAAATGTATAATAGATACTATCATGAAAGGTATTAAACAGGCATATATTGTTATTAAAAAGTATCATTGAGTGTAGTATGAATGAATTAGAAGCACATCCTCATAAATACTAAAATTATTAATTTGACATATCCTATCGCTAAGTATTGGCTTAACCCAAGTTTATGCAATACAAGATAACAAAACTTCACATTTTAAACTAAAACTGATCCAGGAACTGAAATTATTATTAGATTGCAATGAAAAACCTGTAGGGACCTAAATTTCAAAATTAAAATGCAACTTACAAGGTCTATTTTATTTTGGTAAACATGTTTAAGTGCTGGAAGAAGGTGCAGGTACTGAAAAAAGCAATATTGGCAGGACATAATTACAGTCCTAGAAAAGCCTAGGGCTACACCTGGCACTGAAATAATGTTGTCAATATTGCTATTTATTTTGATATAGAATTGAAGACTCAAACATCCATTTCTTAAATGGTAAATAATGGAGAATCAGCTTAACCAGTATCAATGAACTATTTATCCAGACGAAGCAGTAACTAAATTAGTAATTATTCAGGCGTATGCATAAATATATGGATACGTTCATAACACCAGAGTGAGTTAAAAGTTAAAAACCTTGCTTTTAGTTATAAAGTGACTACTCGGAAGAAGCTTCTTCCACCCCCACCCCCCCCCCCCCGAACGTTAGTCTGGCCGACAGAAGTTCCAAGATTTAATAGGTGTGCAATAGGCTTAAATTAAATACTATTAGTAGCTGTGCAATGGGTTCAAATTTTCTTTTACAGCTGCGTAATGTGATCAAATGATCTTTTTATCCTTATTCTTCTAACAAAACTATCTGTACCGTGAGGTCGAGCAGTTGCGCTTCAGGAGAGTTGTCAGGGCTTGAGGGTTCATAGTATAGTTCATGATATAGTATATCTAGCAAAAGAGTTCTAGTCTATAAGTAAAGTATAACATATTTTTTAAAAAACTATTTTAATAGCCTATCTACTCAAAGTATTAATCAAGACAACAAGACTACACAATGAACATTTAGTGCTATGCACATCATTTTCTGGCTAGAAACTACATTTTAGTTGTCTGATTGTTGAAATACCTAGACCTGCTCACCTAATAAAAATTAAGTGTTAACCTACATTCTCAGAATTTTTCTGTTGGATTCTCTGTTTAAAATTACAATTTTTCAGTTCTAGTTCAAGACACTAGTAATAACCAAATTAAGTAGGCCCACACTGCATCTAAAAATCTAGCCAGGATCAGAAAAATCATTGCTGTCATAAAAATCCCAACAAGATTAGAGGGATTTGCCCATTTACGTAAAGATTTTAGTAGAAATAAGTCTTGTAATCTACTTACTAAGTGCCACAGTCCTGGCACTACACACCACACTACTGACTGTAACCTGAGGAGTCTCAGTAGACTCTAGACCTAGGATAGGGCAGGGCTAGGCCTACCTCTGGCTACACCACACTCACTGGTTCAGCAGTGGTTGGTAGGGGCCTATAATATTCTAGGCCCTAACAATGTAGAAGCCAGTGTGTAGAATCTACACTACCCTTAAGTAGATTTGCTGCTATAGATATCTAGATCTATTCTAGAATCTAGATCTAGCCTCCGTGTTTTGGCGAAGTAAAATGACACAAGAACCAGTTGACTGAGTTGAGAGTTGGGTGTGAAATGTGAAAGAATCAAGGTAATCTATCGTTTTGGGTACGTAAAATCGCCCGCGATTTGTAATGTGAAAAACAGGTGACTCCTTAAATTTTAATAATTATTTCACATTTTGAGGAGGATTTATGTTTTAAAAAATTCAAAAATGTTTCTTTGATTCATTTATGTACCTGTTTTTAAACAATTGAATTAAAACTTTTCCGTAATAAATGAAGACTAGCGATGTTTCCAACAGATGCAACCATGCTCATTGACTATAGCAGCCATCTTGTCTAAGTTTTATTTTTATAAGCTTTTAGCGCCAGATTCAGGGGGAAGCCACTCTATTTTACAAATGGCTGCTGTTTATATAGCAAATCTTGCTCTCAGACACTGCTGTTTAAAGTTAATTTCTGGCCTATATCGATATATTTAGCCATTGATTTAGGTTTATTATTCATTTATCTATAATATTTGACACAAAAGTATGACAATATACTTCTATTAAAGCCTTGACAATGAGGTAACGTTTTCGTACATAAATAGCCGCGGGCGATTTTACGTACCCAAAACGATAGATTACCAGAATCAAATAGACTAGTCTAGGACAAAGCTTGATAACTAACTCAAGCGTATCCTTAATATTCTAGAACTAATCTATTCTAGATCTAGAAAATTCTAGATCTATCTAATCTACATTCTAATTCTAGTCTAACAACTAAAAATAAGTTTAAAACACGGTAGGTCTGGCTTAGCTAGCTGTCAGTCAGCAGTGGCTGAGTCCTGGCTAAAAAAATCACTGAATTATGGGATTATAAATTAATTTGAATTACATTTAGAACTAAACCAGGATACTATAAAGCTAAAATTTAATGATTTAGTTACTTACCAGTATGAATCTGCTCATTGATTGCAGACACAATAAGTTTCAATGTCTTCTCGTCGAGAAGAAAAACGAATGAACAACACACTTTCACAATGCCTGTGAAAAGATGGCCGTCTCTGACGTCAAAAGTTCCGGAATGTATGAAAAAGTTGCCAGATTTTTAACGGTATAGGTGATCAAAAGGGCGATGTAAAAAGCCTAGGTTTTTCCTTGCTACTAGATCTAGAATCTAGATCTAGATCTAGTAGGCTAGAGCTCACTATGAGCTGAAATCGATTTTTCATTTACAAGGTACGCCCAAAAAGAGATTTTTAGCATCATCTGTACAAAACTTCGTCGGGATTTTTCTCATTGTCCAATAAAACGTATAACAAATAACTGTATAGTGTATGACCGTCTCATTTCATGAAAGATGTGTCAACATTTCTTTAAGGTCTATAGCTGCTGAGATTCAGAATGATTTTGCTTACCTCTTTTTACATTTTAATGTAGTTCTTAGGAAGGGTTTTTCGAAAGATTAATTTCATTTGGCTAAGTATATTCAATTTTTAGCGCAATTTCCATTCTGGAGAATTGCGTTTATTAACTCGTCATTTCTGGGAATGGATGGATGAATGAATGTATGAATGTATGGATGAATGTGTGTCCGGGCTTTAAGTCGTATCTCCTCCTCAACGAAGCAATATCGATGACTAGTTCCAAAAGCAATTATGTTAAGCAAGTTACGAGGATGAACATAGGCCATAAAAGTTACGGGTTTCTTTCATGGATTTCCCGGAAAAGCCAAAAAACCTCGAAAAAATGCAGTTTTTTGCCCATATCTCGGCAACCAGACCACTAAGCGACTTGAAACATGTACCAATCGATTCCTGCCATAATTTAGAACAATATTGCCGAAGAAAGTTTTCAAAAATATCCTTTCGTTCGGTCACAAAAAAAATTTTGAATTAATTAAAATTTGGACCGAATTAGTAGGCATTTTTTCCAACCACACCACACGCGTCATCACGTTCAATAGCTGCGCCATCGCGTTCCATAGCTGCGCCATCACGTTCAGTAGGCGCGCAATGGTTTTTAGTCATGTAACTCTATTGTAAATAAAACATGTAAAATACTGAAAAAAATTAATAAAAAACGTTTTAATAACTAACCAATGGTTTTACTAACCCTGCTCTTGATTTACGCTACGACAGAGCTATTTTTAGATAACATAAGGAAATTGCGCTAAAATTGTCACTAGACTTTTTAATTACCTTGTTTTGTTTGTTAGTACTTTAAGTACATAAAAAAAGAAAGGTGTCCAAAAAAAAATGAATCTCTTCGTGTCTTAGGGGCCCCCAAATTTTCCTTACAAACAGAGGCGTAGCGACCCTTCCCGGCGCCCGAGGACAAACTTTCGATTTGCACCCCCCCCCCTCGAACTTTCAATTTGTTTTTCCAACCCATTTTTCACCCCCCTAAGGTCGGCACCCGGGCAAATATGTCGTCGTACCCCCCCCCCCCCCCCCCGCTCCCCCCCCCCCTCCCCCAGCTACGCCTCTGCTTACAAATTATAGTAAATTTCATGTTACAGAGTAATTGTTTTTTTTTCTTTCACTATAAAAACCAATCCTTTAATGTTTACAAAAACACGCTTATTACCTTTAAAAAAGAATCAAACACGGGCACACACTTAAGTATAAATAACAGCTGTCATCACCTCCTACAAAGACATTGTTTATACAAAGCCGACGTTCCCTAAAATAACTTAGTCCGGACCAGCGTTCGTTTATGCCAATAAATTTAGCTCATTTTAGAATTTAAAATACACAAACAGCAACCGAACTCTGACAAATGATTGTTCCATGTAGGGTGTTTTAAAATAGTCTTTGATTTCGTTTATTTTTTGTCGACCTTACAAGGGCTTTTCAAAAAGTCATTTTCTTTTGCTCTAATGGCATGTGTTATATGGATCTAGATCTATTTCTTTTCCATTCTTCGTTTCTTCATGGATGCGGACTTTTATATATTTCACATGTTTGTGCGGATATTCAACCTTCAGTGGTATAGAGCAGGGGTCTCCAAACTACGGCCCGCGGGCCGGATGCGGCCCGCGAAGTCCTCGCATCCGGCCCGCGGAGATCTTTTTGTCCAAGGAAAAAACGTTTGTTGGTGATGGCTGAGGAACTTTGTCCAGAAAAATCAAAGACATGTCTGGAAGTAACTGGCCCCCGAACTGAAATTTGATAGTTAATGCGGCCCTCGGACTGAAAAGTTTGGAGACCCCTGGTATAGAGTATACTGAGGGAGCCGCGTGACACAAAAGCAAAGCATGCACTAACTCTCTAGCTAAAATACCATCAGTTTACATTTTATTTCCTATCTTAGAATACGTGCTTATTTTCACTAGCATTTGTTTACTTATCGTTGAACCGTTTTTCATTTAACACACACACAAGCGCGCGCACACATTATATATATATATATATATATATATATATATATATATATATATGTGTGTGTGTGTGTGTGTGTGTGTGTGTGTGTTTACTAGGTGGTTGTGTCAAGTTGTGTGTACTAGGTGGTTATGTGTAGTAGTTGGTACTGTACTAGGTGGTTGTGTGTATTAGGTGGTTGTGTGTACTAGGTGGTTATGTGTACTAGGTGGTTGTGTGTACTAGGTGGTTATGTGTACTAGGTGGTTGTGTGTACTAGGTGGTGGTGTGTACTAGTTGGTTCTGTACTAGTTGGTTGTGTGTACTAGGTGGTTGTGTGTACTAGGTGGTTGTGTTCTAGGTGGTTCTGTGTACTAGTTGGTACTGTGTACTAGTTGGCTGTGTGTAATAGGTGGTTGTGTGTACTAGGTGGTTGTGTGTACTAGGTGGTTGTGTGTACTAGGTGGTTGTGTGTACTAGGTGGTTGTGTGTACTAGTTGGTTGTGTGTACTAGGTGGCTGTGTGTACTAGTTGGTTGTGTGTACTAGGTGGTTGTGTGTACTAGGTGGATATAGTTGGTTCTGTACTAGGTGGTTGTGTGTACTAGTTGGTTGTGTACTAGCTGTTTCTGTACTAGTTGTTGTGTGTACTAGTTGGCTGTGTGTACTAGGTGGTAGTGTGTCCTAGGTGGTTATGTGTACTAGTTGGTTCTGTGTACTAGTTGGTTCTGTGTACTAGTTGGTTGTGTACTAGGTGGATATGTGTGATTATAGTGATAAGTATATTGAGATACGGCTATTACAGCAGTGACTTCTGTTTGTTTACTTAATTCTCCGTGTAGATTTGAGAGCTTGTGAATGTGGGTTCATGTGTCTTGAGGGAAGGGGGTGGGGGGGGGGTCTTAGATTAATGATAACACCGTAGATACACAGAGACCAACGCGACTCTTTCTAACATTTGCCCGTGTGTAGTTGCCAGAGTGGGGACAATAGAGTTAGAGAGATCACTAGAGGCATATATATATATATATATATATATATATATATATATATATATATATATATATATATATATATATATATATATATATATATATATAAAGGTGCAACGAGTGGCAAGACAGGACGAACATTACCTGCAATGCAAGATGTTGTAGGACACTTTGACCTGACCTGCGTCTACCGACCTTCACCCCGTCCATACAAACATCACGCATTGTAAAAAAAAATATAAACAAATGAATTTTATAACTGGGAATGCGCTTTCAAATATGTATATCGAAATTTTATTGGGAGAATAATTTTCTCTATATTATCAACTAATTATTATTTTTTAATTTCAGGTTTTGAAAAAAAAATGAAATTATAAGTTTTGTTATATAGATAAATAAACCATTTTCAATAAATTAAAGTACGTGCCAGAAAAATATGTTACAATTGTAACTATTGTAAATCTGTGACAGTACTTACAATCCGATGGAAAAAATGTAACACTTAAGTGAACAAAGATGTTAGGTAAACTAATTATTTACCTAAAAACGTGCGGGCGGCCAAAAAAAAAGGTCAATTTAGAAATCTTTTTTTTTGTATTTGCAAAATAACGTTTTTATTTTAACTATTACAGCTAAAGAACATCAACATTTATTTTCTTATTTTTAATGGGTTTACTTAAAATCCTTTTATTATAAAGATTTCTACACGTATTTTATTTTCTTACGAAATCATCAAGCAAAACTTCTGCCGTCCTTTTCCGATTCAAGTGAATTAAAGGGAGGTAACGCATTTTGTTAAAAAAAAATTAATACTGAAGGGTTATCCCGGTTTTCATGTTCAGATTTTAGAATACAAATCAGACTATTTTTGATCCGTGTACTGCACAGGGGCGGAACTATAGTGCCGCCAGACCCCGCAACACGCTGTTGTCGGCGTAATTTCTTTAAAAAAGAGGCCGCTAGATATTAAAGACGACTTCTGCTTGTATGAGTAATGGTTTCTCGTGTTATATTTATTTTTATGTTTTTTTTTTGTTTTTGTATTATTTGTTTTAAATACATTTCCTTTTTATACTATGTCATTCTTTAGCATGTATTTTTTAAAATAATAATTGAGAGAAGTAGTTGCTTTTTAATTAATTTATTTATTTAGTACAAATCTATTAAAATGAGCTTATGAGCACCCTTATTTAACTATTTAAAAAAGGGAAATAGGTCATGGAAGTGTTATAAACGTTTGCCTATCTTTCACACTACAGCTCCTGCATATATTTTTTACGCAACAGCATGTTTTAGCTACTGTATAACAGCACTAATGTAATAGATCTGTTTTGTTATTTACAAAATAGGGGGGGGGGTCTGGCTTTTTACTAAACGTTTAATGGGTTTTATATTCTTTTGACCGTGGCGAGGACAAGAGGAATTAATGTAAACATCAAATAATACAGACTAATGCACTCACACACATGACATGTTGTTGTAATATGTTTTACTTATTAAAAAAAATAAGACATTTTTTTCCAAAACTCGATCAGGCCTGAAATGAGTATCCTAAGTTCTTATTCTGTGTTTGTATATATATATATATATATATATATATATATATATATATATATATATATATATATATATATATATATATATATATATATATATATATATATATATATATATATATATACACCAGAATTTTTTTTTGCGGGGTGGCCCTTTTTTTCTAGTTCCGCCACTGGACTGCACTAAGGTTAGTCATCGGAAGTTATATCGTTTGTGTTATATTCTAGGGTGACATGTTTGTGTGTTGGGAGTGAGATTTATATTATCCAATTTTCAAGAGCGTATGTTAATCTGGGACTAGCCTGTAACTGTAAGCATTTCATATGTCAATTATTGCGATCACCTTATAAAACAGTTGGCCAACTGGCCACAATAGCCTTGTATAGAAACAAAACAGTTGGCCAATTGGCCACAATAGCCTTGTACAGAAACAAAACAGTTGGCCAACTGGCCACAATAGCCTTGTATAGAAACAAAACAGTTGGCCAATTGGCCACAATAGCCTTGTATAGAAACAAAACAGTTGGCCAATTGGCCACAATAGCCTTGTACAGAAACAAAACAGTTGGCCAACTGGCCACAATAGCCTTGTATAGAAACAAAACAGTTGGCCAACTGGCCACAATAGCCTAAAAAACCAAGGGCCCTCGGCTGACATGTGATACAACACTAAAATATGAAATTTTATATTCAAAACCCCACACCATATACCAGTTCCATAAGTCTACACTATTAATATTAATCAAATCTAGACATTTACACCCTCCCCCACACCCATAGCACAGACAAAAAGAAACATTGAGAAAACAATTTTTAAACAAGTCTCTTTGTAACATTTTTATTTAGTTACTCAACCACTACCTGAACTCTTATGTCACAACATAACGTAATGATAGACCATAACCCCATCAAATGATTATACAGTGAATGTGTCCTAACCACGGCTATGTTGATACAATGTCCTAACCACGGCTATGTTGATACAATGTCCTGACCACGGCTATGTTGATACAATGTCCTGACCACGGCTATGTTGATACAATGTCCTAACCACGGCTATGTTGATACAATGTCCTGACCACGGCTATGTTGATACAATGTCCTGACCACGGCTATGTTGATACAATGTCCTGACCACGGCTATGTTGATACAATGTCCTGACCACGGCTATGTTGATACAATGTCCTGACCACGGCTATGTTGATACAATGTCCTAACCACAGCTATGTTGATACAATGTCCTAACCACGGCCATGTTGATACAATGAAAATGTCCTAACCACGGCTATGTTGATACAATGTCCTAACCACGGCCATGTTGATACAATGAAAATGTCCTAACCACGGCTATGTTGATACAATGTCCTAACCACAGCTATGTTGATACAATGTCCTGACCACGGCTATGTTGATACAATGTCCTAACCACGGCTATGTTGATACAATGTCCTAACCACGGCCATGTTGATACAATGAAAATGTCCTAACCACGGCTATGTTGATACAATGTCCTAACCACAGCTATGTTGATACAATGTCCTAACCACGGCTATGTTGATACAATGTCCTAACCACGGCCATGTTGATACAATGAAAATGTCCTAACCACGGCTATGTTGATACAATGTCCTAACCACGGCTATGTTGATACAATGTCCTGACCACGGCTATGTTGATACAATGTCCTAACCACGGCTATGTTGATACAATGTCCTAACCACGGCTATGTTGATACAATGTCCTGACCACGGCTATGTTGATACAATGTCCTGAGCAGGGCTATGTTGATACAATGTCCTGCGCACGACCATATTGATACAATGTCCTGACCACGGCTATGTTGATACAATGTCCTGAGCAGGGCTATGTTGATACAATGTCCTGCGCACGACCATATTGATACAATGTCCTGACCACGGCTATGTTGATACAATGTCCTAACCACGGCTATGTTGATACAATGTCCTAACCACGGCTATGTTGATACAATGTCCTGACCACGGCTATGTTGATACAATGTCCTGACCACGGCTATGTTGATACAATGTCCTAACCACGGCTATGTTGATACAATGTCCTGACCACGGCTATGTTGATACAATGTCCTGACCACGGCTATGTTGATACAATATTCTGACCACGGCTATGTTGATACAATGTCCTGAGCAAAGCTATGTTGAAACAATGAAAAAGTCCTAACCACGGCTATGTTGATACAATGAAAATGTCCTGACCACGGCTATGTTGATACAATGTCCTGACCACGGCTATGTTGATACAATGTCCTGACCAGAGCTATGTTGATACAATGTCCTGCGCACGACCATATTGATACAATGAAAATGTCCAGAACACGGCTTTGTTGATACAATGAAAATGTCCAAAACACGGCTATGTTGATACAATGAAAATGTCCAGAAAACGGCTATGTTGATACAATGTCCTGACCACGGCTATGTTGATACAATGTCCTGCGCACGACCATATTGATACAAAGAAAGTGTCCTTATGATACTTCCAGCACCGTTGCCATACAATATGACGCCACCATCTTCTTTGCTTTCCGCAGAAAGCTAAATCAGAAAAATACTAACATCAGTAAAATATATTAACTGTACAAATCATTTTATCAACTATTTATTTGTATAGTGTGTTGTTCTAAAACTAGTGTTTTTACAGATATGCCGGTTTGAGGTTTTTTTTTAATAGATAGAAGTATATGCAAAAATAGTTTTTATTTGCCTGATACATTAAATCTTTTTCTTTTATTTATTTTTGTTTATATCAAGTATAGTATTTTTCAAATAAGAAGTAAAATTATTACTTGGTTGTATTCCTTTGAACGATTGTCTCCCCTGCTAAGGGAAGCCACCCGGTTTCCCAACGTATTACTGTCAGATTGGTCTACAGTAGAGCTTTTGGCTTGTCTGTCTTTAGCTTGGCGACTCGCCCTGTGGAAAGCGGTGGTCGCTGCGAGTTTAATGGCGGCTGCTCCCCACTTTTTCCTGGCATTAAACTTGGTGACTGGATCATGGAGTTCAGTGACCTGTGACGGTTTGTCGGGGTCAGTGGGCTCGTCCGTATCTGGTCGGACAGCCGGCTCTGTCTCCCTGGTGGGGCCGGCACCCATGTCCAGCAGGCCTGAAACTGGCAGGGGTCATTCATATTAGGTCAACACGGACTTCCGGAGTGTAGGTCCGTCAAATAAATGGAACATTTGATTTTTTTAACAAAGTAAAAACTATAGTTAAATATAAAGGTCAGTAGCTAATAGTAATATGTAAGGGGAAAAAGTACCCTTTGAACCAAACGATCCATGTGGCAGGTGAAGTAGAGTTCACCTGTTTCAGTGAGCTCGGCATATGAAGGGATCGTGTGGTCAGTGACCCCAACTGGTCCTTTTGGTCGCAATTAATCAAGTCACATTTCACCAAAGACAGTCACCATTAATCAAGTCACATATCACCAAAGACAGTCACCATTAATCAAGTCACATTTCACCAAAGACAGTCACCATTAATCAAGTCACATATCACCAAAGACAGTCACCATTAATCAAGTCACATTTCACCAAAGACAGTCACCATTAATCAAGTCGCATTTCACCAAAGACAGTCACCATTAATCAAGTCACATATCACCAAAGACAGTCACCATTAATCAAGTCACATATCACCAAAGGCAGTCACCATTAATCAAGTCACATATCACCAAAGGCAATCACCATTAATAAAGTCACATATTAAGAAAGGCAAGGTAACCACTGTATTTTTTTAAATTGTGACGTCACAAACTTAACACACGCAGAGGTAGAATCTTGGCTAATTAGGCTAAGCATCTTTAATTAGTCGACTGAAGGAAATGTCTTTACGTAACCGTAATGCTAAAAAGTAATTATTCGATTTGACCATAAAAAAACTACTTTTATTAACAGGCCTTAATGTTCGAATTATTGCTTTCAGGGGAAGTTAACCTTTTACCTCTCATCAGGGGAAACAAACCCCTTCGTTCAGTCGAACTGTCGGAATATTAAACTGGCAGGACTGGGATAAAAGTCACGTGAAATTACCTCCAAAGGAAACTTCAGCTGCGATGTATTTAAACAATAGAAAATATTTTAAAACCACGCATGATAAAAGACTGCATTAAAAATATTTTTAAATCAAGCATGATAAAAGACTGAACATATTTTAAAACCACGCATGATAAAAGACTGAAAAGACTGAAAATATTTTAAAACCACGCATGATAAAAGACTGCATTAAAAATATTTTAAAACAACGCATGATAAAAGACTGAAAATATTTTAAAACCACGCATGATAAAAGACTGAAAATATTTTAAAATCACGCATGATAGAAGACTGCATTAAAAAATAGTGTATATATTCCCCCCCCCCCCCCCCCAATCAGCACAACTTGCCGGCTGGTTTAACTCGACCGGCACAGATAACTAAACAGATGATGTCGACGGTCATCAATCGAACCGGTCAAACCAATTAAACAGTGATAGAGATCAACCGGTCGACCGGTTAGATTAAAACCAACTGTACGCTTGACTGCGCATGACGTAACTATTCTAGTGCTCATCACATCAATACGTACAGAAAATTTGGATTAAATGAAAACAAAAGCGATTCACGTTTGTCTTTAAATGAATACGTACCAAAAGGTTTTTAATGACGGTGGAATAATTCACATTAAGTTGTAACTTTATACACCAGGAGTTATTACATGAAGAGTATAACAATTTGTATTTTAGCTGTAACTTTATACTCCGTAAGTTATTACAAGAAATGTATAACAATTCACGTTAAGTTGTAACTTGAAATATTTAGATTTATTTCACTGCGTTCATCTCCAGAAAAATATCCTTGATAAACTTGAAGGGAAACTTATTGTGATATTGTTTCCAGATTTTTTGTCGCTCGTCATAGGATATGTTATACACGAATTGATCTCTGAAGTGATTTGTGTGTGATATGATAAATATTATGAGATCTGGCAGGATCGTATTTACCTTGCGATAAGAAGAGAGAGAGGGTTGGATTACGTGTGTTATTGGAGATCCAAATATTTTGGTATTGATTCAAAGTTTATGGTACTCCGAGTGATTGAATCTGTGTGATAGTTGGTGTTAATAAAGAGACGAGATCGGTGTGGAAAAGTAGTTTTTGATATGTCGTGGGGGGGGGGGGGGTTGTGTTCTATACCAGTGGTTGATCTGGAGTTTACAGTCGTGTGTTTGGGGGCATGTCAGCTGTCTGTCAAGTAGATATGCCAATTGTTTGCATTAGACATGTAGTTTGTGATTTTAAAAGTTGCCAGGTAATGATGGTTTACAGTACCAGTAGGCTGATGGTAAGTCGCATTGCCAAGTTGTGTTGCCAAGTCGTACTGCCAAGTTGTGTTTTGCCAAGTCGTATTTCCAAGTTGTGTTGCTAAGTCGCATTGCCAAGTTGTGTTGCCAAGTCGTATTGCCAAGTTGTGTTTTGCCAAGTCGTATTGCCAAGTTGTGTTTTGCCAAGTCGTATTGCCAAGTTGTGTTTTGCCAAGTCGTATTGCCAAGTTGTGTTTTGCCAAGTCGTATTGCCAAGTTGTGTTTTGCCAAGTCGTATTGCCAAGCTGTGTTTTGCCAAGTCGTATTGCCAAGTTGTGTTTTGCCAAGTCGTATTGCCAAGTTGTGTTTTGCCAAGTCGTATTGCCAAGCTGTGTTTTGCCAAGTCGTATTGCCAAGTTGTTTTTGCCAAGTCGTATTTCCAAGTTGTGTTGCCAAGTCGTATTGCCAAGCTGTGTTTTGCCAAGTCGTATTTCCAAGTTGTGTTACCAAGTTGTATTGCCAAGTTGTGTTACCAAGTCGTATTTCCAAGTTGTGTTACCAAGTCGTATTTCCAAGTTGTGTTACCAAGTCGTATTGCCAAGTTGTGTTACCAAGTTGTATTGCCAAGTTGTGTTACCAAGTCGTATTGCCAAGTTGTGTTACCAAGTCGTATTGCCAAGTTGTGTTGCTTCAAAATTGTTCTCCCCTCCAATTACCCGTTTACATTGGGAGATAGGAAATGCATATCTGGCGAGCACACAATGAAAACATGCTAAAGCTATATTCTTTTTATAGTCACATTACGAAAGGGATTTCCTCCAACACATATGTGCCATTGACGTCACATAGCACACATGTCAGGGTCACCTGCTCTATTTATAGATTTATAACAAGTTGTTTTAAATCACCAAGCTACATGAGTTTGACGTCTTACACAATATCATCAGCCTGACAACACATCACGTGATCATCCAGACACCATCTATATCTAGAGTTTCTTCCAACGATATGGATTATATATAGAAAACATATACTTTAACAGTGTCCACCCCCAAAAATTTTAGCCCCCCCCTCGAAAATTTCAAGTGCCCCCCCCCCACCCACCCCCCCCCCCTTCACTGTCTATATCACATGATCTGCCTGACACCGCCTAGAACTGTTACTTTAGTCTACTAACATTCAAACTTTACTGTCGAAAATTGTTTGACATTAGTGGATGTAACGTAACATGGAAGAAGTGGGGTTTGTGTGCGGGGGGGGGGGGAGTGGACATTTTGGTGATACCTTTTTAAACCATTTACGAAAGACTGGAATAATTATAATCTATTATGTTAAAGCATTGATTAGTCTGCTTAGTCTCACCTACTAGAGAAACCACATTTGTCTCACCATCTAGATATACCACCTTAGTCTCACCATCTAGAGAAACCACCTTAGTCTCATCATCTAGAGAAACCACCTTTGTCTCACCATCTACAGAAACCACCTTTGTCTCACCAGCTAGATAAACCACCTTTGTCTCACCATCTAGATAAACCACCTTTGTCTCACCATCTAGAGAAGCCACCTTTGTCTCACCATCTAGAGAAACCACCTTTGTCTCACCATCTAGAGAAGCCACCTTTGTCTCACCATCTAGAGAAGCCACCTTTGTCTCACCATCTAGAAAAACCACCTTCGTCTCACCATCTAGAGAAACCACCTTTGTCTCACCAGCTAGAGAAACCACCTTATTCTCACCATCTAGAGAAACCACCTTAGTCTCACCATCTAGAGAAACCACCTTAGTCTCACCATCTAGAGAAACCACCTTAGTCTCACCATCTAGAGAAACCACCTTAGTCTCATCATCTAGAGAAACCACCTTAGTCTCACCATCTAGAGAAACCACCTTAGTCTCACCATCTAGAGAAACCACCTTTGTCTCATCATCTAGAGAAACCACCTTAGTCTCACCATCTAGAGAAACCACCTTAGTCTCACCATCTAGAGAAACCACCTTAGTCTCACCATCTAGATTCTAGAGAAACCACCTTAGTCTCACCATCTAGAGAAACCACCTTTGTCTCATCATCTAGAGAAACCACCTTAGTCTCACCATCTAGAGAAACCACCTTTGTCTCATCATCTAGAGAAACCACCTTAGTCTCACCATCTACAGGACAGCACACGACGGTACTGAGCTGAAGTAATTGAAGTAACGCAGTAACTGAAGTAACGCAGTAACTGAGGTAACGCAGTCTTTAATCGAGTGTAATCTTGAGTTGCCCTGAAATCATTGGAACCCTTTTATGGCTTTTTTCTCTAGAACACTGAAGTAACTCGCCCAACTGCAATTAGTTGCCTAGCGACGCTGGAAACTTGACCTTTAATATAGATGTGAGATTAAATTGAATGAATCGGAACTTGGAAGGTTTTAAGTCGCGAAGAAAAGAAACTTTCAGATGGAAATCTTGACTCGATTTAACTTTTTATTATTTGGAAATGTGTTTCAAAATCAAGAACGTGAATACAGAATCAGCTATAAATAATTCAACCCAGCAATATTTAAGCCTGAGTATTTGGATATGGTTTTTTATTATAGTTATCTCCCCGCGACCTATGTTAAAAGTTATCTCCCTTCCTGTGGTGTACTCTCACTATGAAGACGTGTGTTTATAATGTTTACAAATAGGATACAGTTACGTTAATCAATGCTTAAAACGCGTTCCTTCTCGCCGTTAGATTAAAACGGAAAGTAATAGAAATGATTATTGACAAATACCCTGAATGGCTAACCACGTGAAAAGAGAAAATGTAGTTAATACTAAAAGTACATAGACTACGTGTTTAAATTACCGTCAAACAAGGGGACAGAACGATGTAAACACAAGGCATGTTTTTTTTTTTTATTAAAACGAGGCTAGTCTTTTGTGTAGCTTGAACTATTTAAAGGAAATACCGTGAAAACTGTTCAATTGTATCACTATAATCCCTTTCATTCAAACTCAAACTATTGATTTTTGTAGCACCGTGTTAAGTTGAAACAGCTATTAGACTTCAAATGGATAATTTCTTGTATTTTTAGAGACATTTCTTTGAAGATTAAGTTGATGAGGAATTATCCATTAGAGCCTTTTATGTCCATGTACTTAGTGTTTATAGCGAACATCGAATTTAAGTTAATCTAGCAAATACATGTATCAAGTAATCTCTTGTTTCTTAAAGTGACTATAAAGGCAGCTATAAAAAAATCAATCAAATTTTAAACTAAGTATTGGCTCAAGTAAATTTAAAGCTTGGTATCAAGTATTTGTTAAATTCTTTCATACACCCTTACAATTTAAAACTTAATAATCCAAGTACTCTAAAGATTTCTTAAGGCCTTCTGATCAAAGTAATCCGATTTGGCTTAAGATTAATCAAACTCTAAGAGACAGGTATCCGAAGTGTTATGATCACGTCATGTGGTGATCTCAAGTGTTATGATCACGCTGTGTGGTGATCTCAAGTGTTATGATCACGTCGTGTGGTGATCTCAAGTGTTATGATCACGTAGTGTAGTGATCTCAAGTGTTAGGATCACGTCGTGTGGCTGCCTCTAGTGTTATGATCACGTCGTGTGGCGGCCTCTAGTGTTATGATCACGTCGTGTGGCGGCCTCTAGTGTTGTGATCACGTCGTGTCGTGATCTCAAGTGTTATGATCACGTCGTGTGTTGATCTCAAGTGTTATGATCACGTCGTGTAGTGATCTCAAGTGTTATGATCACGTCGTGTGTTGATCTCAAGTGTTATGATCACGTCGTGTGGTGATCTCAAGTGTTATGATCACGTCGTGTAGTGATCTCAAGTGTTAGGATCACGTCGTGTGGCTGCCTCTAGTGTTATGATCACGTCGTGTGGCGGCCTCTAGTGTTGTGATCACGTCGTGTCGTGATCTCAAGTGTTATGATCACGTCGTGTGTTGATCTCAAGTGTTATGATCACGTCGTGTAGTGATCTCAAGTGTTATGATCACGTCGTGTGTTGATCTCAAGTGTTATGATCACGTTGGGATCTCAAGTGTTATGATCACGTCGTGTGGTGATCTCAAGTGTTATGATCACGTCGTGTGGTGATCTCAAGTGTTATGATCACGTCGTGTGGTGATCTCAAGTGTTATGATCACGTCGTGTGGCGGCCTCTAGTGTTATGATCACGTCGTGTGGCGGCCTCTAGTGTTGTGATCACGTCGTGTGGTGATCTCAAGTGTTATGATCACGTCGTGTGGTGATCTCAAGTGTTATGATCACGTCGTGTGGTGATCTCAACTGTTATGATCACGTTGGGATCTCAAGTGTTATGATCACGTCGTGTCGTGATCTCGAGTGTTATGATCACGTTGGGATCTCAAGTGTTATGATCACGTTGTGTGGCAATCGCTAGTGCTATGATCACGTCGTGTGGCGTCCTCTAGTGTTATGATCACGTCGTGCGTGAGTTAACGAGCCGGAAGTTGAGATAAATTCAATATGTCTGCACGTGTCAGCCATTAAGTAAACATGAGTCATGTACAACATCTGTACACAGGTCATGTGACCTGACATCGCCCCCCCCCCCCCCCCCCCCCCTTGTGGTAGGGGGTTGATCAAACTT